ATAAATGTTACAATGTAAAGTAAGGTCTCTCCTGGTTGGAGAGTTGCAGGAAATCTCCTGCTGACACATACCGTTCCACTAAAGCAACTAGTTCATCAGCAGTATTAGGATCACTCTGACCTCCTATTTCCTGACAAGAAAACCATATGTAACCGTACAGCTTTGTCTTGGCTGTAAGTCCAGGAGTGAAATCTCTGGGCCTGAACTGATGTTGTGACAGTCAGGTGCGCCAAAATCTCTGCTTTCAGTTTCTTGTAGTCACAGGCTTGTGCAGGATACTTATTATAATATGCCTTCTGAGGCTCTCCACTCAGGAGTGGAGCGAGGAGGCTTGCCCATTTGCCAACCTTCTTTTTCAGCTGTCCTTTCAAAAGCAATCGGGTAAGGTCATCTGTGGCAAATAAAAATAAACCGAACAAAAGAAAAGCTTTACTCTTCTGAGCACTAAGTGACACTTGCTGCTGCCAACAATACAAAACACAAAAATTTAAGCACAGTCCTTTTTCAAACCTGAATTTATTTTCTCCTTCAGAATACAATATTCAACATGCTCTTGTAGCAAGAAATGCAGTCTAAATAACTGCTTATCCTTCTCCAAGTGAATCCCTGACAGGGAAATTTTATAGCAGCCTTGTGCTGATCAGTGCTAAGAGGTGAACAACTACCTGGGTGATCCAGAACTCCTGGACTGGATCCTCACTCATGCTGCATGTACACTGTGAATAGGAGCACTGTCCCTCTCTTCACTCCAAATGCTCCTACCCAGTAACCCATATTTATATATAGATATATATATTTAAATTATATGTGTATATTTATGTAATCTTTTCACATAATTATATGATTTTTACTAATTACAATTTGAGGAACCTGCCTGACAATCCAGGTAGAAAGTCCAGAGAATGTAATGTGCAAGCCCTATATTTAACCCTGTAACTTGCCAAAACACCATAAAATCTGCACAGTACTGTTTTACTCGTCAGACTACACTAAACACAAATATGAGTTTTTAAAACTGTAAAACGTATCACCAGGATGCATCAGTAAAAGTGCGTTTTTTGTGTATAAAAAGCAAAAAACAAATATGAACACAAGCTTTGGCTAGGGTTTGTGACTAAGTATCTTCTAAATAAGAAATGACATACCCCAATTTGAATACCCTGGGTTGTCCACTTGTTCAAATGGTATACCATGATGGGGGTAACTCTCATTCCTGGGCTGCCATATGGACTCAAATGTAGCATAACCAATCTGTCAAATTTCAACGTGCAAAAATGGAAATTGACAAGTCTTATATTTGACCCTGTAACTTTCAAAAACACCATAAAACCTGGACATATGGGGGTACTGTTGAGACATTACTAAACAGAAATATTAGTGTTTTAGAGCAAAGAAATATATATAATGCTGATGATATCATCAGTGAAATGGTAGTTTATTTGTGAAGATGCAAAAAACTAATATGAACGCTAATTTTGGTTCGTTACTAAATGGCCACTAAGAAGGACGGACCATACCCCATATTGAATACCCTGGGTTGGCTACTTTTTCAAATGATATGCAATGATGTTGGTAGTTTTTGCCATACGATGTCAAAGGCAACATAACTTGAAAAGTAAAAGTCCTATATTTGACCCTGTAACTCTCCAAAACACCATAAAACCTGTTACTGTTGTATTCGTGAATGTTTTTTTTATTGTAGTAAAAGCCAACAGTATTATGGCATTCACAATATTAAAATGCTGCGTAAAATAACATTTCTTAATTTCTCATTCTTATTTAGATTTTATCCATATTAAATTGTTTCATATCTAAATATTTGATGTGAAATGAAAGTCCTCTTTCTCCTGAACAAAATTATATATAATACGTGGGGGTGCACTTAATATGAAAGGAGAATTACCTGTGAACAGACATAGCGCAAATTCCAGGTTCTGTTTACATTTTGTTTTGATCAGTTTGATCAGAATATGTACAATTGCCTCCATCCTTAAGGGGTTCAACATATATATAGTAAACAAATAATTATTAAGTAGCTTACCTATATTCAGGATGATTGCATATTGTATCTTTATCATACTTCTCGATAACGGCTTTATTTCTTTCTTAAAATACTGTAATGTACATCATCACCGGTCATTGTCTTAACCAATAATAAGAATGTAAAAATAACAACACGAAAGTGTGCCTTTTTTTAATTACTGCTTACATTAAGTCAGTTTTGTTCATTAAGATTTTAACAAAATATGACTAATTTCCCTTTATTTTTTTCCACTAAGCTGCTAACATCATTTATGCAACCTGTGTTTTGTTATTGTGTTTTTGTAGGAAACTAGCTGTGACTTTGACTCAAGAAGCTAAATCAAAATGTGATGTGCCACAAGACAATTCCAAGTAATTCATTTTCTTTCATTTTTGTCATTTTTTTTTAATTGCTACAGCAAAGGTTCTCTGAAAAGCTGTAACATTAACCTATTCAGAATTAAAATATTTTGTTAAAAACTGCTATCAGAGGAAGACTTAAAATGTGAAGTATTCGAACAAGAATCCAATAAAGCTGTAGTATTTGATAGGACCTGGCGACATTCAATGGGCCCCTGCATTACAATTAAAAATATCATTAGGCTAGTAGTAATTAAAGAACTTTATTGAGAATCTTTTGTAGAAATAAAACCGTGAGTTGTTTTGGTTTAGTTAAATAATATTTCAATGTAATCATTTATTCACGTTGCAGCCCTTGGCTTCCAGTGTTAAGTAAAAATACCACATCTGTGGCTCCAGTGACCTTTACAACCATTGTAGAAGAGGAGAAAAAACAAGAAGCAGCCCTTATCAGAAGCCGAGAGAAGCCTCTGGCACTTATCCAGGTGAGACATATACAGTATCAAACAGTATATATAAAAACCTGCAAAAATGGAATAACGGCAGTGATATATAGATATATCTATATATCACTGTTATTTCATTATTGCAGATTTTCATATATGCAGTTTGATATGATGATTATGTGAGAAATATTGGAAGCAATAGAAAGACATCTATTGCTCATCTATTCAGCTGTCAATACACAACTGTGAATCTACTGTTTAGTTACTGTACTTATTCTTTTGAGGTGGTAGCATAAGTTCACATGCAGGACAGCTACATGCACTGTTAGTTTGGAGAGTTCATTGTTGATAGTCTTTTCTTTTCCCTCTTCATCCAGATAGAAGAACGTGCAATTCAAGACTTATTAATACATTACCAGGCGCTAGACAATCCAGATGAGTACATCACTGTAGAAAGAGCACCTCAAGAGCCTATGGCAACACCAATGTGGAACAAACATTGATCGCAGCAGTTGAGTTTCATGGCCAAGGAAGAACCTTTCTAGGCTGGTTGCCGCAAAGCACATTCATGTTGTGAATTGTATGAAGAAAGACTGATTTTGTGTGTGTGTGTGTGTGTGCATGCATGAAAAGAACATTAGACTGTGAAAAATAGATACACCATAACTCAGTGGAAAGGAGCCTAAACATTTTTAATGAAGTAAACAGCATGATGTTAGTGCTGCTAAACGCTCTTTCCCTTTACAAAACATGGAATTCTTTTGTTGCCATTATCTTTGATGCATGTATTTGGCATTTTACTGCCAGCAGCCCAATCCTGAGACAACTGATATGATACACGTGATACATTTGTGAAAGGATTGTAAACTGGAGAATAACTGCTACATGTTTATAGAATAGTGTTACTACTTAACAAAATATGGTTGTTTATTTCTTAGCAATTGGAGCATGCCCACTATTTCAGCAGCAGTTTGCTAGAAAACAAACATATTTTTTTCTGATTTTATTAAATTGCTCACCTTTAATCATCAAATAGCCGGACAACACAATTTCAAGAAATAATTCCCCTTTCTCCTGTCATACAAAATATCATGGTTTCATGTTAATAGCCCTTGGCATTTCATTTGATACCGTGCTTCTTAAATTGGTTTAAAAAAAAATATATATATATATATATATATATATTTTAAATGTTATTCAATTTTGCAGATTTCAAGCAATATAGATATATATAGTTGAGCTAAGTGAGTGAGAACATGCAAGGGACTCTCAGAAATCTAAATATGCAGTCACATGTATGACTTCTGAGATGGAGATGTACACTGTGGTGTGATGTGTAAGCAGGGACACAAACTCTGGTTAAGTATATAATTAAATCCATACATTATAGTGTTGATTTGGATAGCAGAATGTGTAGGTTCAGTTACATTTTGTTTGTAAAGGAGACTTTGCCATCTACAGATTTCTTGGGGGGGGAGGGTGGAGGGGGACTATAAACTGCACCAAACCGAGAAACAACTGGGTGCTAGACTGAGCTAGCACAACCCACATGCATAGTGCATAAAGAAAAAATGCTCAGGCACTCACTGTGTTAAAATATAAGTAGGATTTAATAGAACATCACGTACACAGCAACGTTTCGACTTGACCCTATCTTGACAAAGACCTGGGGTCAGATGGAAACATTTCTGTGCACTTGATGTTCCATTAAATCCTGCTTATACTTTAACACATTGAGTGCCTGAGCATTTTTTCTTTATATACAGATTTCTTGACTGCCTGCTTAAAAACATTTGTATTTAGACTAGCTATGTTTCAATTTAATCCATGCAAGTATTTTTGTTTTTTCTCTCAGCTCTTGAGCAGGATATTAATTCATTATGAAATAATAAAAGCTGTAAAATGAGAACATTTGATATTAAAATTATGATTAATTTTTCTGAGTCCTAAAATGTAATATTGCAAATAAAAGTGTGCGTTCCTCATCATGTTAGTCTCTGTTATTAATGTATATTTTGAGCCATACATATTATTTGATATAAAGAAATGTCTAGTGAAAAATAGATAAATATTGTTTCAATGGCTGCTTCCCTGTAAAGTCTAGTGATATTACATTTTCATAAAAAAATACAAACTTTGATAAAATTTGATAAATGTATAGATTTATTATTGGAACTGACTTAGGCTTGTATAAGTGGAGACTATGACATTGTTAATGGTGATACCTACTATACTGAGCAGTATATATTTAGCAAAGACCCCTGAAAGTGACATCTCTGGTTAGGCTCGCCTGGCTGCGAGTTGCAGTGGAAGGTAGGTTAACTTGTCTGAATCTCACGTCCGCTGCCATCTTCTTCCTGGAAATCTTCTTCAGCTCCTGGCAAATCATTTCCCAGGGACTGTGTCAGGAGCATGTGAAATCCTAAAACCCATCACATGTGATGGCCGAAGAAAAGTTGATAGTAGAACTTTACGTTTTGTCAGCCTCAGGATTTCAGATGTACATATCTGTCAGACCCCACATGTGGAACGCCAAAGGAACACCTGCGAAGATAAATAAAATTACAGTACCTTTACCAATTTCATGCATTTAGCAGTTGAAGGTAGTAGTTTTCTAATGTGGTGGTAATCTCTTGTTCTCCAGTTTATGTATTTTTACATGAAAAAATAAAGGGACTGCAGCTTTATTTAATATAGGAGGGTGATGTTGAGTTCATTTGGTGTTCCCCTTTCTGGGATTTGATCAAATATGTACATTGGGAAGTTTAGGTTAAGGGGGAACTTAATGCCACCAGTTCCCCTCTAAAATTAAACTATGGTGTTTGTATATATTTTTATATTTGTATTTTAACTGCAGACTCGGTAATCCAGCGTTATCCAAGCTCAGGCTTTACCATAAAACAAAGTAATACTTTGTCTAATGGGCTGTTTGGATTTTGTTGGAATATTAATGAATTTTCAACACAGTCAGCATTGGTATTTCATACAGTTGAAATACTGAGTAGTGACAGAGATTCTAACCTCTTAGTGACCAGACCGTTTTTCAAATTTCTTACCGTTAAGGATCAGGGCTGTTTTTAAATTTCTGTGGTGTTTGTGTTTAGCTGTAATTTTCCTGTTACTCAAAAAATATAAAATATGAAAACATTTAAAAAAAAAAAAAAAACACACCTTTTCTAACTTTGACCCCCAAATTCTGTTACGCATCTACAACTGCCAAAAAACACCCGTGCTAAACAGGTAATCAATTTTGTCCTGAGATTAGAAATACCCAGTGTTAACATGTTCTTAGCTTCTTTTTTTGCGAGTTATAGGGCTCTAAGTACAAGTAGGACATTGCTGTTTCAAAATATATATTTAAAAAATGTATTAATGGTGACATTGTAACACTGTTCTCTGTAACAAATATTTGCATCACATCTCACATGTACATATTTTTCTAATGTAGACAACCCAGGGTATTCAATATGGAGTATGTCCAGTCTTTTTTAGTAGCCACTTAGTCACAAACACTGGCCAAAGTTAGAAGAGACAAAGAGAAAAATCAGCGCTAAACTGCCACAGAGAAATATAGTAAAACGGCTGCACACCTCAAAGGGGAGTCCCCTCTAATCCCCTAACAATGAGATAAAACACAAGAAAACACACAACAGAAAAAGGGTGTGCCTAAAACATATAATAAAATGATGATAATATAAAATAAATTAATAGTAGTCCAAATAACTTATCATAAGTCCAAGATGATAGAATCCACGTGTAGAAGTAGCACTTCTTACATATAAAATGAAGTAAATCTTCACGGTTGTATAATTGGAATTCAGTGAAGCATATGCAAAAAAAAAAGAAGACAAGAACAGGACTCCAATGCCACAGTATATAGGTGAATAAAATTATAAGGTAGTAATAATAGTATTACTCACACTTTACAGAGCTAAAATCCAGCTCTGATATTGCACGCGTGAAGTGGAATAATCCCCACTCAAGGATATATGAGGTAATACTTGATTGGCAGATATATGGCACAGGTTCAGCGTCCAATATTGGTATTGTTCGACCCAGAAGTAAAAGGATAAAATAGTGTTCTCTGTTTTATGAATAAAAGATTTTATAAAAGTATAAACTATATTACTCACATTGTTTAGAGCAGGCTTGTACTGCTCAGTGTAAGCGTTTGGGTGGTATAATCCCCACCTGTGGATTCTTTATGCTTCTTATAGGGTATGCAATATTGATGTAGTCAGGTAAAAAAGAAAAAGTGGCAATGAAATAATTTATGCCAAAAATAATTTCTTTATTATAAAGTGGTAAAACGGTATCTAAACGCGTTTCGCCTAAAAAGGCTTCTTCAAGTAGATAATAGTAAAAAGAACACAACCTGACATACATGGGTTTATATAGGATACAATAATACTATTGAAATTTGAATTTCCCGCCATAGTGACATCATCGGGATCTCATTAGCATAGTACAAATTAAAAACGGCAATTAAAACATAGTATTGTATAAACATGGTTAATATAAAGTAGGTACAGCTATTGGAACTGCAAAACGAGGGTTTAAAATGTGTAAGATAGAAATTAAAATGCGATCACATGACGCGCTGCTAAAAACACTTCCGCGTCACGTGATGCCAAATGGAACGCATGCGTTCCACTTAGCCTAGGATGACGTGGAAGGGGTGGGCTGTCTGGGAGGATCGATGGATCGTAAAAGTAAACGGCAGGGAAACCATAATCAGGCTGTCTGCCTGCAAAAGCAGGCAGACAGCCAAACCAGCATCAGCCTGCACATGGCACAAGTTCAAAGCCCAAAATGGGCACTTATTAAGATATTTTAGTAGATGCACATAGAAACAAAAACCTAACAAATAAAAATAAATGTGTAAAGCCCATACAGAGAAAAAAAGGAAAAAGCACCAAACATAACAAATTGCTTAGTAAACATATGGCTAATCTAGCAACATGTCTACTAAATAATGGAAGTTGGATATTTTAAAAGAACAGTACATATAAACATAAATATAAATAAAAAGTACAATTATAAAACCGATAATACTGTAAAGCATAAAAGCGTATGATAAAAATAAGTAAAATATACAGCTAAAAGGTTAAGAGAATCGAAAAAAATTTAAAAGATCAAAATCTATATTAAGCCCTGTAGGGGCGAGGGTTTTTAGGTTATAAGCCCATTCCATTTCTTTTTTGCCCAAAACTTTTTTGATGTCTCCACATCTCCATGGGACATTGCAAATGTCTATGCCAATGCATTTGAGGTGTCTTGGATTCTTTCCATGCTGTAGAAAATGTTTTGACACTGAGTGATTCTCATAACCTTTTAGAATATTTCTACAGTGTTCAGCTAATCTGGTTTTTAGATCTCTAGTGGTCATACCAACATATTGAAACCCACACGGACATTCCAGAAGATAAATTACATTTTTTGTGTTACAGTGAATAAAATGTTTTATCTGATATGTTTTCTGTGTGGATGTTGATACAAAAGAAGTAGTTTTAGATTTAATGGTGTCACTAGGGCATTTGTATACTATGCACCTATTGCATCTAAAAAAAACGCTAGGTCTAGTTAAAAAGGTAGAAGGACTGGGGGAAAAGTGCTATATTTTTGTTTCGTGGAATTTCTTGTAAGGATAGACTTAAAGCTGGGTGCCCCTCTAAATAGAACATGTGGTTTCTCAGGGATAATTCCAGCTAGAGTCTCATCCTGTGTTAATATATGCCAATGTTTCTTTATAATCTTCATAACATTACTTTTGTTATTGAAGTCGAAAATGATTGGCAATACTGGAGCGGTTTTAGTATCTTTATTTCTTTTGTATTCTAATAATTCAGATCTATTTTTTTCACTGATATTTTTTAACATTTGGTCTAAATTATTCCTAGAGTAGTTTTTTGGGGAAAATTTGTTGGACATTAATTGAGACTGTTCCTCAAAGTCTTGTGTGAGGGAGCAGTTTCTTCGTAAACAAAGAAACTGACTTTTGGGTATGCCTTGAAGCCAGGGCTTATGATGGCAGCTGGACACATCAATAACATTGTTCGTACATACTTTAAAAAAAAAAAAGTTAATTTGTTCATTCTTAATAAAAATGTCTAAATCTAAAAAAATGGATGGAGGATTTACTATACTCCCAAATTAGGACAGTACCTTTATCATTTCGATTTTATTACTGTAAAAACTGATGCAGAGAGTCCTCTGAACCATCCCAGATAAAAAACAAATCATCTATATATCTAAAATATGTGACCAGGTTTGCCTGCCAGTCATGCCCTCCCAGAATGGCAGTAGATTCCCAATCTGCCATAAAAAGGTTGGCATAACTGGGGGCAAACATGGTCCCCATAGTAGTGCCCTGTTTTTGTAAATAAAAAGAATCTAAAAACCAAAAGTAATTATTATTTAAAATAATTTTGATGCCTTGAATAATAAAATCTATTTGTTGATCTGGAATATTTTTTTCGGCTCTTAAAATATTTTCAACTGCTGAACACCCTTTGTCATGAGGGATGATTGTGTATAAAGATTGTACGTCGCATGTAACTAAGAGGTATGTATTTTTCTATATAAAATTGTTTAAAAGTAATGTCATAGTCTTTTAGGTATAACTTCATACACTTCACTGAGGGCTGTAAAAGGATATCTAGATATTCAGATAAATTAGATAAAATGCAATTAATGCCTGAAACAATGGGCCTACCTGGAGGGTTTGTAATATTTTTATGAATTTGCGGTAAAAAATAAATAACGGGAATTATGGGGTGGGAAACATTTAAATATTCAAATTCCTGTTTACTTAAAATGTTTTGATCACAACCATTAATTAAGAAAGAGGTTAAAATCTGTTGAATTTTGGAGGTAGGATCTTGTGTTAGTTTTTCATAAACAATGGTGTCATTAAGCTGTCTCATGGCTTCTTTTGTGTACATGTACTTAGTTAAAATAACTATACCTCCCCCTTTATCTGCAGGTTTTATGATAATATTTTCGTCTCTTTGTAGTTGTTGCAATGCGTTACGTTCTAATTGTGTGAGATTATCTTGATCAAATTTATTTTTATGGATTTTTTCTAAATCTTTTGTAACTAGTTTCTCGAAAACCTCTAAAGGACCAGATTTGAAACTAGAAGGAAAGAATGTCGAGTTTTTCTTTAGCAAGGTAGAGATCATTTTAGGTGACTGGCCAAAGTTAGCATTTATATTTGTGTGATAAAAATGCAAAAAACTATTATGAACGCTAACTTTGGTCATTGTTTGTGAGTAAGTGGCTACTAAAAAAGACTGAACATACCCCATTTGCAATACATTGGGTTGTCTCCTTTTGCAAATGGTATGCCATCATGTGGGTAATTCTCATTCCTGGGCTACCATAAGTTCTCAAAGGCAACATAACCAATCTTACAAATTTCAATGTGAAATAATGGAAAATCAAGCCTTATATTTGACCCTATAACTTTCAAAAACACTATAAAACCAGTACATGGGGAAATTGTTGTACCTGGGAGACTTTGCTGAACACAAATATTAGTGTTTCAAACCAGTAAAACGTATCACAACAATATCATCGGTGAAAGTGCCATTTGTGTGTGAAAAATGCAAAAAAGTCACTTTCACTGACAATTTTATCACTGTGATATGTTTTTTACTGTTTTGAAATTTGTGTTTAGTGAAGTCTCCTGAGTAAAACATGATTCCCCATGTACAGGTTTTAGGGTGTCTTGGAAAGTTACTGGGGTTAAATAAGGTGCTAGCAAATTACATTCTCTGGACTTTCAGCCTGGGTTGTCAGACAGGCCCCCAAAATTGCAATCAATAAAATTACTTTTGTAAAAATATTACATAAATATGCACGTAGAATTTAAATATACATATGTCCATATACATAATTACATAAATAATTTCATGAATATACACGTAGACTTCAAATATAAAAATATGTATATATATTTCGTATTTTTACTTATTTATATATACATAGATATATAATTTAATTCTAAGTGTTTTGATATAAATATATAATCAAAATACAGTTAGAATAAAATTATATATATCATTTATTAAATTTTTTCATTGTTTTTAAATTTTTCCATTTATTTTTATTAACTTATTTATATTTTATAATATACTATATATAGTTATTATATATATTATATGTGTAATGTAATTATAAGTGTATTTTTATTTTAATATACTGTATGTATATATTAAGAAAATACACTTAGTATGACGTTATATATAAATATAAAATATATATATATAGATATATATATATATATATATTGGAAGAACAAAATCGAAGGTATGTAAAGATTGGATGTCCATACTTAATAAGTGCTCCTTAGATCTTATGTTAATTACAATTCAAGATGTAAAGGAAGACTTTTTGGAGATCCGGAATAAGATCCAAGCCCTGGAAATTGAATATGCCTTGTTGCTAAATTCACAGTATAAGAACCAGCTTATAAAATTTAAGAGACAAAAGATAGACAATAGACAGAGTAAATCCTACGCGAACATAGACCACAGAATTCAAATATATCTAAAGAAGAACGTCAATTGATTAAAGCCCTTTCTATGGATCCCACACATAAGGGCGATGAGACAACTTCAGGATCGTAACCCATATCAGTTTCTGGAACATGATCCCACATTGAGAATCGCATGAAAAATGTAAGATACTTTATTACTTGGACTAAGAGCGGACCATATCAATCTCAATCTATTCCAATTTTTACAAAAGAAGAACCCTCAAACCCCAATAATATATGCACTTCCAAAGATCCATAAAAGTCTAAAGGACCCCCTGGGGCATCCTATAGTGTCAACGGCGGATGGTATCCTTGAACCGATCGCTAAATATCTTAATTTCTTATTCAAATAACCAGGTGGGAACCAGTGATGACAATTCCCACCTGCATTAAGGACATGGGAAACCTCCTCTATGGATCTTAAGACAGTAGGGGAGTTTGATGGTGTGTTAATAACAATGGATGTAAATAGTCTATACACCATCATACCCCATGAAGATGATGTTGAGTCAATGAATCATCATCTTTCCAACTCTCCGGTCTACCAAGGTCCAGCGATTAAATTTGTCCTGGAACTTCTACAGTTGACTTTACAATGTAATTATTTTCGTTTCCAGACCAGCTGGTACCTACATTTCTCCGGTACCTCGAGGGGGGCAGCAATGGCCCTGGTGTATGCCAACACATTTATCTATGCCTTTGAGGAGAAATATATCTTACAACAGTTTAAACATCCGATTGTGAAATATTATCGCTTTATAGATGATATTCTGATCTTATGGAACGGCACAGAAAGTGAGGCTCAGACATTTGTGGATTATATTAATAATCTACCAACACCAGTCAAAGTCACTTCTGAGATTGACTCCAAAAGCGTAAAATTCCTTGACATAGAATTATCATTGAATGAAAGAAAACTGGAACATAAATTATATACAAAACCAACGAACAGAAATACAATTCTGCAGCGCTCACCCTAAACACCTCAAAGATACATTGTCGTTATCTCCGTTCCTTCGAGTTTTCAGAATCAACTCTGTTGACGCTCAACGGACTGAACAGTTACAAATGATGTATGATAGATTTGTCGCACAATGTTACAAAAGGAATGTACTCAATCGGGCCTTGGATAAGGCTAAATAAAAGTATCAGGAAACCAGGGAGAATATAAAGACGGATAAAGCTTCATCTAGAATGATATTCCCCATGAAATTCCATACAACCAGCTCTGCCTTTAAAACATTAATTGATCAGAATTGGAATATCTTGAAAAGTGTTTATACGTGTATAAACTGAATAAAAACCTCAAGAACAAAGAAATATGCAGACCGTCTCAATTATATGAATGAAACTTACTGCATTGACTGGAAAAAATATATCTATGTATAGCGCGATGTTCCAAATATAGAACCTGGCTATTAGAAATAATATGGTCAGAGACCCTAATTGAACAAAGTATATACAAGTGAACCTACAATCCTATGCCAGCCCAGGGTAGTATAGATCAAGAGGTAGTAAAAAAGATAACCTCACTCCCCCTTATAATTAAGCTTTATTGTGATCTGCTATAGGGATAGGAGTATACAGTAGCTAAGTCTCTATAATCCATGCATCCTAGGAAGTATCCTGGTCACACTAGAAACATATTAAGAAAAACAGAGAGAGATAAGGACTGAAAATAGAAGTAAAAAAATCAGTCAAAAACAGACTGATAATTAGCATTAATAAAGCCTCTCTCCCTGTAAAGCTAGCTAGATAGGCATAGGAAAGAAAAGAAGAAAACGATATAAAATAAAGTTAAATTAAATGGTGATCATGGTGCTCCAAACACCAGTGCCCAGTGCAGAAAAAACGCCCATATACTTTGTTCAATTAGGGTCTCTGACCATATTATTTCTAATAGCCAGGTTCTATATTTGGAACATCGCGCTATACATAGATATATTTTTTCCAGTCAATGCAGTAAGTTTCATTCATATAATTGAGACGGTCTGCATATTTCTTTGTTCTTGTGTTTATATTTGGGGTTAAGCCCCTCTGAGACAGCTGGAGTCTCATACTGGTACGTTGGTCTCTGCGTGACCCCTGCAGCCACTGCCCCCCTTTTGGGGAGGTTTTGAGGTGGTGGGTGCGGCGGCTATACAGGGACTTGGAACGTTGTGTTCCTTGCTCTCTTTTTTGTGAATAAAAACCTCAGAGACTTATTGGTCCACACAGACCCAACGCATTGCTATATGCCTAAGTGACAGAAGACAATGAATGTGGTATGTGTTCGCTGTTTAGAATGTGTGACATCAAAATCTTCTGTCACCCACGCACAGGTAAATCCTATAAAATAAAATATAGGATACATTGTCGAACAGACTTTGTGGTTTACAAACTCACTTGCCCGTGTGGTCTTAACTATGTTGGGAAAACTGAAACCGCACTATGTGAGAGAATCAGGGGACACAGGTCAAGTATCGGACAAGAAGTCGGACAAACCTGTGGCCAGACATTTTCTGGAAAATCTGCAGCATCTCTCGACACTTAGATGTGTGGCAATTGACCATGCTCCAGTACCCGCAAGCGGGGGTGACAGGGCTAAACTATTGTTGCAGCGGGAAACTTGTTTGGATCCTTGAACTTAACACACTGTCTCCAAAGGGACTGAATGAAAAGTGCTCTTTTCTACCATTCCTTTAATATATGGCTATGTGCTAGTACTTATCTTTTCAGAATCCCAAAATAATTGTGTATATATAGTTATAGTTGTTTTTATTACTAAACTTGTATTTTATGTGTGTGTGTGTATATATATATATATACATATATATATATATATATACACACACACACACTGCTCAAAAAAATAAAGGGAACACAAAAATAACATCCTAGATCTGAATGAATTAAATATTCTTCTGAAATACTTGTTCTTTACATAGTTGAATGTGCTGACAACAAAATCACACAAAAATAAAAAAATGGAAATCAAATTTTTCAACCCATGGAAGTCTGGAGTTGGAGTCACACTCAAAATTAAAGTGGAAAAACACACTTCAGGTTGATCCAACTTTGATGTAATGTCCTTAAAACAAGTCAAAATGAGATTCAGTAGTGTGTGTGGCCTCCATGTGCCTGTATGAGCTCCCTACAATGCCTATGTATGCTCCTGATGAGGTGGCGGATGGTCTCCTGAGGGATCTCCTCCCAGACCTGGACTAAAGCAAAATCCTGGACAGTCTGTAGTGCAACGTGCTCAATTGGATTCAGGTCTGGGGAACAGGTGGGCCAGTCCATAGCATCAATGCCTTCGTCTTGCAGGAACTGCTGACACACTCCAGCCACATGCGGTCTAGCATTGTCTTGCATTAGGAGGAACCCAGGGCCAACCGCACCAGCATATGGTCTCACAAGGGGTCTGAGGATCTCATCTCGGTACATAATGGCAGTCAGGCTACCTCTGGCAAGCACATGGAGGGCTGTGCGGTCCCCCAAAGAAATGCCACCCCACACCATTACTGACCAACTGCCAAACCGGTCATGCTGGAGGATGTTGCAGCAGCAGAACATTCTCCAAGGTGTCTCCAGACTCTGTCACGTCTGTCTCATGTGCTCAGTGTGAACCTGCTTTCATCTGTGAAAAGCACAGGGCGCCAGTGGCGAATTTGCCAATATTGGTGTTCTCTGGCAAATGCCAAATGATCTGCACGGTGTTGGGCTGTAAGCACAACCCCCACCTGTGGACATCGGGCCCTCATATCACCCTCATGGAGTCTTTCTGACCGTTTGAGCAGACACATTCACATTTGTGGCTTGCTGGAGGTCATTTTGCAGGGCTCTGGCAGTGCTCCTCCTGTTCCTCCTTGCACAAAGGCGGAGGTAGTAGCGGTCCTGCTGCTGGGTTGTTGCCCTCCTACGGCCTCCTCCACATCTCCTGATGTACTGACCTGTCTCCTGGTAGCGCCTCCATGCTCTGGACACTACGCTGACAGACACAGCAAACCTTCTTGCCACAGCTCGCATTGATGTGCCATCCTGGATGAGCTGCACTACGTGAGCCACTTGTGTGGGTTGTAGACTCAGTCTCATGCTACCACTAGAGTGAAAGCACCGCCAGCATTCAAAAGTGACCAAAACATCAGCCAGGAGGCATAGGAACTGAGAAGTGGTCTGTGGTCACCACCTGCAGAACCACTCCTTTATTGGGGGTTTCTTGCTAATTACCTATAATTTCCACCTGTTGTCTATCCCATTTGCACAACAGCATGTGAAATTGATTTTATAACAAGACACGGAGGCTCATATTGCATATCCCTTTCTTTACTGTCCACCAATAGCAGCAAAGAATACATGCAGTAACATAGGCCCCTCCCCGCTCAGGTCCCAGTATAATAGGCAGCACTTCCCTTCCATTTCCCTCTTTGCTGCTCCGACACAAAGGTAAGTACATGTCACTTTTTTCTCTTCATAGTTTTCTATTGGACTGGTTTCTGGTAGCATTCTATCTTATTATATTTATTGTAATATTTGTTTTACATTTATTTGTTTTATTTATTTTATTTCATATATTTATTTACATTTATTCTAGAATTATTTTGTTTTATTGTACTTGGATGTCTTCATCTTGCATTATTTTTCTGTGCACTGTTTGTTTCTCATACCCAGGGTCCAGACCACCCCTGTCACTACACCACTGTAGTCTTATCTCCTTTTCCGTCCTCCCTGCCATTGGCGCCATTTTGTGCACATTTTCTCCTCTACCCGGCCGTGTATGCGCACGAATTAAGCCTATTCGGCTGATTCGCCACACATACATACTATTCCCCATTCGGCAGACAGCGCGTTCGCATGTTTGCCGCATTCAAAATTTTCATGCGAACCGCCCATTCGCCTATTCTATATTCTCCTATACTTACCTATCTGGTTCCCGAATTCACCTTTTTTTACCGAACGTTCTGTAGTTTTGCCGCGGATGCCGCGAATCCCGCGAGATTACCGGCGGCCATTTTCAGACTTCCTGTCTTCTCTCCTACCCTGCATCTTAGTGTGTCACTGGTCTGGGCCCTGGTGAGAGCGTTTTAGTTTTTTGTCTTTGCTGTTTGGGTGACTAACCCATACTATTCCTATTGTTAGCTTATTATCTCTGCTTGTTTAGCATGCCTAAACCCAGACTATCCGCTGGGTCCACTCCCTCTAGGGAGTCTGATACCCCACTTATTAGAAGTGAGGCCCCTGTCACCTCAGGCAATTCGCCCATTATGACAGATGGAACTACCCACCCTGATGGGGCACAGTTCCTAGCGCTGCAGCGCTCGGTGACAGACGCCATTATGGCGGCCATGGGGTCTATGTCCTCCACCCTCTCCCACACCATTTCACAGGCCCTCTTGCCACGTCCTTTGGACGAGCAATTCTCGGGCTCCTCGACGTCTTTACCGCGTCCACTGTGAACCCTCAGGGAGAGATATTTAAAAAGGCTACCCACAAGTCGAAACACCCCTCTGCCTCCAGAAACACCATGACTGGCGTACCTTCGGTCGCCCTAGAAAGCGTGTCCCATCCACGCAAAAGAGCCTTTCCGCGCCAGGCAGAACGGGCGCGGCTATGGAAATGTGCCAGAGCACAGCTAGAGAGCGACTCCGACACAGAAATCGGGTCAAATGAGGAGGCTAAGAGCGAGTCAGACAGTGACTCTGATGCGGATGCCGCTGATGCTGGCTTTGACCTCCTTTCCTCTGCTCAGGCAGAGATGCCCGGAGGCGAGATAGGGATCAGGAACCCCGCGGCCGCGGGGTCCACCCTTGTAGATCCGTCGGGTGTCCCACTCTTCGACCCGGATGACCTACACCATCCGAGATTGGCAGAGTGGCTCCCGGCTGCCCACGTTGCCACATATTTAGAGAATTGGGTCAGAAGACCTTTGAGTAAAGCGGCCCGCAACAAATTGAGGGCAGAGTGTCCTAGGCCTGTGGTGACTAATAAAGTCTGCGACACTCCGGAGGTAGACCCCAAGATGACCCAGTTCCTCACTAAATTGGGCTGGAACCCCCGTAAAGGACTGGAGTCTGCATTAAAGTCCTGCCAGGACAAACATCTGGACATATTCGGCCCCTTGGCCAAATTATTTGACTTGGCGGAAGACGCCAGAGCGGAGAACCGCATGGTTGACCCCGAAGACCTACGTGGTTGGGTCCAGAGAGCAATATGTATTGCTGGGAGTGTGAATACCTCCCTATCTATAGAAAGGCGTAAGGCCATATTATTTAAGATTGAGCCTAAACTGGCCAACCTCGTCCTTACGGAGGCGGGTAAGGACGCCCAAGGTTTACTCTTCGGAGACTCCTTTATAAAAGATTTAGGGCACTTTGTTGGAGCGTTCACAGCCCTAGACAAGGCCCAAGCCTCCATGAGGCGGGTGTTCCAGGGGCGGGTCTCTACCAGGGCTGGCAGATTCAGGAGCCGTCTGGCCGGCCGCAGTTACCCCCAATCCCATGGCACGGGAAGAGGCTCCTTCCAACATCGTACGCAGTACCAGGATTCTAACTCCCGCCCCACGTTCTTTCCATCTCGCGGACGTCCATGGCGGTCCAGAGGCTTTCGGGGGCAACCCAAGTTCAAGGCGACCATACGGTGAGTTACCTCACACTTCTTCTCTGGGTTGTGTAGGGGGCAGACTCCAACATTTTTTTCCAGCCTGGTCACAAATAACATCGGACCCCTGGGCGCTGACCACTATTCGGGGTTTCCATATAGAACTCATAAACCATCTGATACACATTCTCCCTCCTTGACCGATCTGCTTTTCCCTCCAGGATCGCAGACAGATCGACGAGGAACTCTCCTCCCTCCTTATCAAAGGGGCTATAGAACTAGCACCTCTCAACCCCGCAGGTGTCATAAGCAACATCTTCCTGGTGGAAAAGAAAGGCGGTCAATTGAGACCCGTCATAAATTTGCGCCCCCTCAATGCCATAGTCAGGTACCGCCATTTCAAGATGGAAGGTATTCACCTACTAAGAGATCTCCTCCACGGAGATTGGCTAGTGAAGCTAGACCTCAAGGACGCGTACCTGACGCCAATCCAAATCCCGGGAATCCAAATCCCGGCTGCGCATCAACGCGCTGGAACTCCTGGCAGGCTCCTTCGCCATCCGCAGTTTCGCCAGAGACCGAACCCTAACATGCATTCGGCTCCACATGGACAACGTCTCGGTGGTGAGATATGTCAACCACCTGGGAATTTTGCCTGGATCAGAACCTGATGGTCTACGTGGAACACTTACCTGGCCTGCACAATGTCCAGGCGGTCTGGGGCTCACGTTATCTCTGACACCAGCGATTGGAGATTGGCCAAGGCGGTGTTCTCCAATATATCGTTTCTCTGGGGACCATTTACCATTGACCTTTTCGCTTCCTGGCTCAACACCCACCTGCCACGCTTCTTCATCTGGAGGCCAGATCCAATGGCGGAGGCAGTGGACGCCTTCCTGCAACACTGGAGTGGAGGCCTCCTATATGCCTTTCCCCCGTTCTCCATGATCCCGCGCTCGCTCCTACAGACCCGCAAACACCGGGCAGAAGTGGTCATGGTGACCCCATTTTTGGAAATGCAGTCGTGGTTTCCCCAAATGCTCGAGATGACGATAGACTATCCCTGACTACTGCCGGAATACCACAACTTGCTGCGGGACCCGACAGGACGATATCACCCCCTCCGGTTAGAAGGCTCTCTCCCACTCCTGGCATGGCGAATCTCCGGGGACCCTGGGAAATCCAAGGAGTTTCGGACACGACTAGACGTCTATTGGCGGCGGCATGGGCTCCCGGCACTAGACGGGCATATGGGTCAGCTTGGCGAGCTTGGGCTGGCTGGTGCATGGCTAGGAACACGGATCCCGTTTCGGCCTCTGTAACAGTGGTCCTACAGTTTCAGACGTCCCTCTTCGAGGCTGGAAAGGCTTACAGGACTATCAACCTTTACAGGTCTGCCATCTCGGCGATTCACCAAGGCTTTGATGGATGCCCCGTGGGACAACACCCCTTAGTGTGCCGACTCCTCAAGGGTTCTCGATTCTCACGACCACCCAGGCCTTGCTACTCCATGACCTGGGATGTCTCCATTGTGTTGGCTTTCCTCACCCGTTCTCACCCGTTTAACCTTGAAACTAGTTGCAAGTATCGACTTTAACCTGTCGGCTCCTGTTCCTTTAAGTTTTCACAGACTAATTTGACGAGAAGGCAAACAATCATCCGGCTTAGGAGGACTCCCCCCGCTGTTATCCGGTGGTCCTATGACTCCTGTGGTCAAGCTTCCCAGTTGTTGATGTTCTTCCCTTTTCAGTTATAAGTGTTACCTTGGGACTTTTTCTCTCACTACTCTTGTTTTTGGACATTTTACCTTGGTCGCATCTTCAGAAAGAGGGAAATGGAAGGGAAGTGCTGCCTATTATACTGGGACCTGAGCGGGGAGGGGCCTATGTTACTGCATGTTCATTATTTTTTCATTCTGTATGTATTCTTTGCTGCTATTGGTGGACAGTAAAGAAAGGGATATGCAATACTCGCCTCCGTGTCTTTAATAAAATCATGACTTTTCGTCATGTAATAGCAAAATCATGTAATTGTCACTCAGTGTTGCTTCCTAAGTGGACAGTTTGATTTCACAAAAGTGTGATTGACTTGGAGTTACATTGTGTTGTTTAAGTGTTCCCTTTATTTTTTTGAGCAGTGTGTGTGTATATATATTTATATCTGCTTTTGCTGACCTTATTATTCTCTCACCACTACTACAATATGGCTCACTTTAAGGTGATAGCATGTTATCTACCCCTGACTGTAGTACCTTGTAGAATATTTACTGTCAATTTCTTTCTAATGTCTTTATGGATCACTTTATGCACTTTATTGGATCTTAGTTTTTAGGTCATTAACTTTTTGTACTTTTATCTTTTTGCACTCTACATAATAACTTTTGCACTTTACAATACATCAGACATTTATTTGCCCTTTTAGTTTTATCTTAAAACTAAGTATTCACTGCGATCGAATTCTCGTTAATATAAATACACTACTGACCGACTCTCTTTGGTGGAGTGGCACTGTCACTTTAGATTTTGAACTTCATTCACTTTACTATTCATATCCACGTATTATAGAGCTATTAACATTGAACTTATGCATCTATAGACATCCTGTCTAAAGATTCTTACTTATGGAAAAATTCCTGCACTGTCACTTTAAGATTCTGAAATTTATTCACATAATCACTGTCACTTTAAGACCTAGGACTTTATTCACGTAATTGCTTTTACTTATGTTCTTTTTTAATACTTCTGTATATTTTCATTTTTATTGGCATTGGGTTTCAATATGTAGGTAAGGGGTACTTACTAATCTGTGCTTAGAGGGGTTTAAATCTTATATTGACCAGATTTTTTATTGGAAAAGATATATCGACGACGTCTTTGTGATTTGGCTAGACACATCAGACAAATTCAATGAATTTGTATATTTGCTTAACATCAATGATTTCAATTTACAGTTTACAAGTGAAGTAGGGGGTCAATGTCTTTGCTTTTTAGATCTGACACTACAGATTTCTGTAGGAGGCAAAATAGATACAACATTGTATAGGAAAAAGACAGCCTCCAATAATCTATTGTGTTGGACAAGTCATCACCCCACATCATTGAAATCAGGAATTCCGATAGGCCGATAACTGAGACTTCACTGAAATTGTTCGACCATGGATGAGTTCAAACTAAAAGCGAATGAACTGCGTCAATTATTTAAGGCTAAGGGGTATCCCAATAGGGTTTTTTTTTAATTTTTATTTTTCTCAAATCACAGTAATTATCAACATGGGTTCATATAGCTTATGTTGTTTGAGCATTTCTTGGACATCATATTAGAGAGTAAGTTATACATCAAAAGAGAAAAAGAAGTCGCGTAGCGTAGCTTGTGAGTGTGTTAGTGAATTGAGGTGTTTTTTGTTTTTGTGGTGTAAGTCTGCCTAAGCGTCGTGTGAGTGGTGTAGCCACAGAACTGCTCGTCATAAGTGCGGTACTGGTGGTAGGTATGTCCGTGGCTAGTGTGGATGCCCCTCCCTCAGGAAAAGGTAGTGGCACCTGTGCGCCATTTAAAGGTAGGGAAGGGGGGGGGAGAGAGATTTTCTGAAGTGTTGCCATTAAGCGCCTGGATGGTTTCTGTGCGTAATCTATGCCATGTGTACACGGGTGAAGAGGATGGGACTGGTGAGTATGTCTTAGTCTGAGCGGCAGTGTTATTAATCGTCTCTGTATCCCCGCTAGCTGAAAGCATGTACTCTAGATGAAAGTACGGCAAAAGTAAAACAGTAAGAGCATGTCAATAATAAAAAATATAAAATATAAAAAATAAAATAAAAACTATATAACATTTGAAAAAAATGTAACTCCGACTCATGGTCATGGGGTCTCCAGGATTGGTAGGGTGAAATAACTGGGACAGTTCCTGGCTGTGTAGAGGGTCTTGGGTGAGGGCTCAGCAGCCACTGAAATCCGACATCCCCTCAGTCAAGTCACAGGTCCGGTGGGCTTGGGTCCTGCCGCCCGGGGTATGAACTCCCTGATCGCAGCTAAGTCCACTTGTGACAGGTTTCTGCCTTCAGGGGTGGCATAAAGGGGGAGTCCCAGCGATCGCAAGTGGTCTTCCAGCTCCTGATATGTTTCTGCGCGGAGAGTCGTGTCTTGGGCTGTAATTAGGACCGTGCGGTAGGGGCCCCATCGATATGGCACCTCGTTAGTGCGTAGCTGCTGAAGTAGTGGTCGTAGGGATTGGCGCCACAGGAGTGTGTTCCTAGCTAGATCCGGGAAAATGAGCAGTGAGGCGCCCTCAAAGGTAATGGGTGTCTTTCCCCTCACCGCGGCTTGCAAGAGGGCTTTGTCCTGTAGGGTGCTGAAGCGGAGGATGAGGTCTGGAGAAGTGGAGGGTGGCACATTGGTTGGTTTCGGGAGGCGGAACATACCGTCTAGCCTCATGTTCTTGGCTTGTTTCGGAGAGAGGTGGGCCGCGAAAAAACGCCTGATAAAGTGAGGTAAGTCCGACAGTCCCATGTTTTCCGGCACTCCCCTGAGTTTTAAGTTGTACCTTCGCCTCTGATCCTCCATGGTGTCAAGTCTGCGGTCAATCTTTAGCCGATGTTGATCCAGAGTAGCTAGACCCTTCTCCACCACAGTAAGCCGGTTATCATGCACGCTCTGGGTAGTTTCGAGTTGGGCCAGTTTGGTAGTCGTGTGTTCGACTGCCTTTTTGAGGGGGGCTAGGTCACCCGCCAAGTTTGCGCGGAGTTCCGCCAACATTGCCTTAAGTTGCGCTGCGGTGACCGGGTCCCGGCCTGAGGTGGCCTCCAGTGGGACGTGGCCCTGCTTTGTAGCCAGAGTGGACTTTTCCATCGGGGCAATAGCCATGTCCTCCGAGGAATAGGAGGAGCAGTCGTCCGCCAGCGCCATTTTGTCCCATGCGGCCCTCTGTGAGCTCCGGAATAGATCCCCGATATCACGGCCCGGTGGGCTCTTGTCTGGCTTTGATTTTTTGTTTTTACGGCCCATTCTTGTTCCTGCAGTCAGGGAGCTGTTTTCTGCGGGGTTAGCAGGTCTCTTTTTCGCGATTTCAGCCGTTTTTGGGTAGTTGTGAGCGGAGCACAGAGAGCTTGCTACCATCCAGGTTCGCTGCTAAGCTCCGCCCCCCCCCCCCCTTAGGGGGGTTTATATAGTATATGCTTGATGGACGTTCAATCTATTTCTGGTAAGGATAATGCCAGCTTACAGACATTTACTAATTAATAATGTTCTATTTAGAGCCTACTCGGTTCACAATAACCTTTGTTTATATAGATGTTGTTAAGACACCTCCAGTGTCTTTAGACAAAACCACCGTTTAGTAGACCTTCCCCGTCTGCAGTAACAGTAACTCCGTTCGCCTAACCTGTAGTGCACGAACCAAATGCAGGGGAAGCGGCAATCTCCCGACCGGATCCATGAACGGCTCCAAACTCCCGAACGGCAACACACGAACTGCTGCTAGTCGCCGAACAACAATATCCACCAAGCAGCTTTCGGTTCCATCCAGCAGTCTCTAAACGTGAAGAAGAAATCCCCCCAATAACGAGACAGAAGCTCCGCATTGAGGGTCAAACAGGATCTGGCTTTACTGTGGGCTACCTGCCCGTATTTATGCAGGTCTCCCACTTGGTGGACACTCCCCTAGGGACCAAATGGGAGACTTAAATGACAGACAGATATGGGGACATTCCAGACACACAGTCACAGATTTTACCCACAGTGCATTATGATTCCCCTCCCCTCTGCCCTGGAGATAATTACCGAGTAACTCAATTATCTCCAGGACGAAGCCAGTCGCCATTTTAAATATAACATCATAAAAGACATAAAAATACATAACTTTAAAATAACCGAACATTTCCCATTCGTATCACATATCCCCAGATAGCCTGGATTTGAGTGCATATTATTAGCGAATAGCGCTCAGATCCCACACACATAGTTCAATCGCCATGGAGTCAAAGTTCTTACAGTCTTTCGGTATATGAATGACTCCATGGGAAGGCTATCTGGGTTAAGGCTTTTCGTATGCTCCAAACCTCCCGAACGGCCGGTATTCGTATGCTTTCGTGGAGACAGCCAGGCGTTCCGTTGTTTCAGCGGTGTTCGGCAGAAAAAGTGTCCGTTTTTAGTTCCATAGAAATAGAGCCAAACACCGCTGGGCTTTCGCGTGGTTTAAAATGGCCGCTGCCTCGTGGTCGACATACGAACGACGACCACCCTGAATTCGGTTTAATTGAGAAGTGTCTGCGGTTAACCACAACGTTCTAATTGGGATCAATAGGTTAACCAGCAGCACACTTCTCTCCTGGGTGGCCGTCCGTTTGGCAGGTTTGTTCGGGAAAAAAGTCATTCGAATGGCTGGGCTATAGAAAACAGCCATTCATACGAACGGGATACAAACAGACGAATGCAACTGAAATACAAGCAGGCAGATGGTTCTGTCACAGATGTTAAGCCATTTGTGGATGTGTGGTGTTGCCTTGTACAGTGGGATCGGCAAGCTCCAGTTGCTAAGGACACGTCCCGACACATGTGATAGATGGGTTCCACACACCGTCAGTGGTCCTATGGGCAGCCAAAAGCCAAACGATATCGGCGCTTGCCCGGGCAACGCAGTGACGCCGGATATGCTTTGTGAGGAGGCGAACCATGCCTATGACGTGTGGGGAATCACTCAGGTGATTCTGTTATGCACCCAAGCTCCGGAGCAGCCAACCCACTTGACGAGCACCTGGGGGTGGTGAGCAATTAACTTGTTTGCTCTGTATAAAAGCCAGTCATTTGTATGATCATTTTTTTTGTCCTGATGAAAGTTCCAAGCTAAGAATTGAAACGTTGACTTGTGAAAATAAACATTATTGTTCTTAAATCCAGGAGTGCTGGCAATCTTCTACTTCCTATATACATGTATTTTTTTTACATTTATTAACATTTTTTATTTTATTTTGTTCACCAGCTGTCTGTCAATTCAGGCATTCCCCCTGCCGGCAGCACTATGGACACCTATTGCGGCCATGTGTCCGCTCTTTCAGCGGTCACATGGCCCGTGGTCCCACGGGGTCCTTATTTGCCGATAGGCGACTGTCTGGGCTGTCAGGCAGTTCCCCCAGACAGAGAGGAACACAGATCGTCTGCGGGGGAACTGCGGCGATCGTGTAAGGAGGGAATTCCGCGGACGTACTAGGTACCTTAAAGGACCACTATAGGCACCCAGACCACTTCAGCTTAATGAAGTGGTCTGGTTGCCAGGTCCACCTAGGATTAACCCTTTCTGCTGTAAACATAGCAGTTTCAGAGAAACTGCTATGTTTACTTTAGGGTTAATCCAGCCTCTAGTGGCAGTCTCATTGACAGCCGCTAGAGGCGCATCCGCGCTTCTCACTGTGATTTTCACAGTGAGAAGACGCCAGCGTCCATAGGAAAGCATTGAGAATACTTTCCTATGAGACTGGCTGAATGCCCGCGCATGCGCATTCAGCCGATGACAGGAAAGGAGGAGGAGAGTCTCCAGCACCGAGGGAGCCCGGCGCTGGAGAAAGGTAAGTGTTTAACCCCTTCCTCTCCATCCAGCCCGGGGGGAGTAGGACCCTGAGGGTGGGGGCACCTTCAGGGCACTATAGTGCCAGGAAAACGAGTGTTTTCCTGGCACTATAGTGGTCCTTTAAGGACCGTTTGAGATAGGGAAGGGGTTAAAGAAAAAAAATATATATGAATCAAAAGTAAGGGAAATCTCTATTGAGAGATCCCTAATATGGTATTTGAACAAAAATAAAGTAACCGTTTGAAATATACAGTAAAAAGTGTGTGAGGAAATAGATACAATTTAGCAACAGATTATCTTCTTGACTGTCTAGTCAGTGACTTGTAGGCTTTATTTATCTTTGCCAAAATTGAACACTTGAACAGCAGTTTTATCTGTTTGCTGAGTGTAATCATTATGTGGGGGAATTAAAATAATAAAGAACGCCAACTCCCCAGTAGGGTCTCTCTCTATAGTTACTGAATTCTTAGGCAAAGCGCTAGTAATAAAATGAAATCAAATTAAGAAAATGTGTACAGGGGAGAGATCTACTAAACTGTCGTTTGGATATGGGGGGGATAAAGAGGACAGGAGTGATTTTAGAAAGGAAGGCAGAATGAGCTCATAATAGGAAGACCATCCTTGGGAAGTTTATAATGATAGGAGGAAAAAAATATAAAAAAGCAGGTAAATAGATTAGAGATTGGAGGCAGTGATAAACACAGGCAGACGACAATCAATATAACCTTCACAGCTGATCACCTACAGAGGCTCTGGTATTTACCTCATAATGTCAATAATACTCACACAATAAGCAGTATATGCTCTGATATAAAGTTAAATTGCATCAAAGGGAATTTGTCTGCTGCTGTCCTTCCAAGAAAACTCTCCAGTAGCTCTCTGGGCTAGAAACAGGTAAATCAACTTATCCACGTATCTACTTAAAAGAATGTTCCCTCCTGCACCTTCATGGGTGTGAAGATCTTTGTCCTGATACTCCATCCTGCACCTTGGTGGGTGCTAAATCTTCAACTCTCTAAATTCTAGGCCCAAATGCGGCTTTGTATCATCTAGATATCATGACGTATATTCTAAACTAGCCCCCCTTCCCCTCCTCACTTAAATAATAACCCAAAACTTAAGAGTGAAAAAATGTGCAATTAGTGCAAGTGAATAAAAGATAAGAAAAGCCAGACACACGTTTCGGTGCTCTAACAGTACTCATATACTTACCTGCTTATTTACATTTTTTTTTTTCCTCCTATCCTTATAAACTTCCCGAGGATGGACTTCCTGTTATAAGCTCATTCTTCCTTTATTTCTAAAATCACTCCTCTCCCTGTTAACCCCCACCATACCCAATCGACAGTTTAGTAGATCTTCCCCCTTTACTAATTTTCTTATCTCCAATTTAATTTCATTTTACCAATAGCTTTTTGCCTAGGAATTCAGTAACTATAGAGAGAGACTATACTGGGGATTTGAAGTTCTTTATTATTTTAATTTCCTCACATAAAGATTATACTTAGTTAGCAAACAGATAAAACTGCTGTTCAAGTGTTTAATTTTGGCAAAGAGAAATAAAGCTGAACAAGTCACTGACTAGACAGCCACATGGATAATCTGTTGTTAAATTGTATCCATTTCTTCACACACTTTTTACTGTTTAGTATATTCCAAACAGTTACCTTATTTTTGTTCAGATACCATATTAGGGATCTCTCAATAGGGATTTCTGTTACTTTTGATTCATAAATAAATTTAAGGGTTATGCCCTGACCAACCCTTATTTGAAATACTTTCCGTGCAAGGGTCAATCTATCAATCTTTTTCTATAAAACAAAAACAAGAACTTGCAAATATGAAAGCCGGTCCGAGTGGTAAATAAAGAATGTTGTATTCACACACTTCTTACGTCTTCCATTGATGTCATCATACACTTCCGGGGCCTATCCCATGCCTGATGCAGAGCGTTCTTCTCTGAGCGAGAAAGGGAACAGTTTTATACCTGCTCACAATACAGCACCTGCAAGTGAAGGAGGCAGAGTTGCATGGTTTAATGGAAAAGCAATGTATTTGATCGTCATCATATTACATACTTTCAGTAAAGGTTAGCAGATTCGTTGAAGGGTATAGTAAACGCGTTTATATTGTTTAATTTCCTAAGGTTGCTGTTGTGTTCATGTTATGAAGGCATATAGCCGACCAGTGCATTTTGTGACATTCTTTTAAAAACCATTAGTTCATATTAAGCATACAAATTGATTCTAGAAAAAAAAATAAACTATTAACAATGTTACCCAGAAGAATACTAAATTGGGCCATTAACATAATAATCCTGCAGTGTGCTCATTTAAACTGTCTAAGAGCATTACATGCTTTGAGTTTGACATCTAATCATTTTCTGTAGCAAAATGTCTGTCACCAGATGTTCCGGTTTTATAATATCTATGGGAATCTCTAATTAGGTCACCTGGGAATAACATTCATTTTTTGCTCAATACGCTGTCCAGGTTTAAATAAAATTCTAGAGGGATAGAGAACTTTCAGAACTCCTATTAGTGTGCACTTTGCCTGACTTAGAATTGGGCAGCCATCATGCAGGAAGAGTGACATAGAAAATATTACATGTTAAATACAAGTACACATTAGTTATAAAATATGCTTACTTGTAAGTCAAATGTTTAACTATATTATGCTTTGTTAGGTAATGTGAAGTGTGAAGATGTTATTAGAAAAGACATTTAAAGGGACACTATAACAATCTAAATTCAATGGACATATCATGCCTTCTTCATCTGACAATAGAAACAATTTCAGAGAAACAGCAATGTTCCCTTTTTCCTAAACTACACTTCTAGTGGCTGTCAAGACAGTCGATTTTCAGTGCTGCTTATGCTTCTCATAAAGAAGCATTTGCTTAGTGGTATACTTTAATTGTGCACATGCGCCATAGCTCTGTAGTGATAGCATTGGATTGGACCAAGATTATAAGTATTTGTGATCTCAAAAGAGACTGAGTGGCTGCTGTAAGATGTTTGTCCCTGCACTATATAACAGATGGGTTTAAAGGGTCACTCCAGACCCCTAAAAGACTTTAGCTTGCTGAAAAGCTTTGTGTGAAGAGTGTATAATACTATTTTCATTTAAAAAAAGTGCAGATTTCAATAGAAATTTACACTTTTATAAATTAACTTGGTTACAATGTCCAGGCCAACACTCAGAAAACTGGTCCTTTTACTTCCTGTTTGGTTAGCTCAATGGAGCTAAACACAGGAGGTAGCAACTGCCAAGAACACCTACCTTGCAAAGACTTCTTATTGAGCTGGCTGTATTGGAATATCTCTGATAGTGGTTAGAAGGGGAGGGCTTGCAAAGACAGCAGGCAGGAGAACTGCAGGTTATGCAAACTGAATTTAGACCCCCAATGAAAGAATGCATTATTAAAAAAGGTGCAAGTTTAAATTTGGGATATATCTATTGAACAGTGATTTTTGCTTATCTTATATTTGGTCAGTGGAGAGTCCCTTTAACCCCTTAAGGAAGGCGGGGGTTCTATGCTGTCCTTTTTTGGGCGGTCCCTAACGCCGCTGTCCAGGAGACTTACTGGGTCCCGCCAATCCCACGACAGCGGTCGCGATCCGTGGGGGCTGACTGGGAGCTCAGGCCCTCCAGGGCCATGTGATAGCGGGGTCCTTGCGATCACATGGCAGGAATAGCTGGCTCATGCAGTGCCAGCAGGGGGGCTGCCTGAGCTCTCAGGCTGTCCTCCTGCTGCCTGTAAAAAATGTTTCGAATGTTAGTAAAAGTAAAAAAAAAGTTTAATAAAGTAAATTAAAGTACTTAGATCATATACATATATATGTATATGATCTAAGTACTTTTATATGCACATACATACCCATAAACTATTATTCTAAGTGTATTTTAATATTAATATATAGAATTATATATATTAATATTAAAATACACTTACAATGACGTTAAATATATGTATGTATGTATGTATATATATATATATATATATATAACTATATATAAAAATAAGAAAATCGAAAAAATAAAAAATAATTTAATTAATTTTTTTTAAATGATTTACCTGTATACTTTCGCTCTAACAGTATATTGTATATATTTAAATCAAAATACATTTAGAATGACATTATGAATACATATATATGTGTGTGTATATATATAAAAAAAATTATAAACAATATATATATATACATATTTATATATAAATAAATATACATATATATTTAAATTCTACATATATATTTATATAAGATTTTTACATGATTAAGTAATTTCATTAATTACAATTTAAGGGACTTGCCTGACAACGCAGGCAGAAAGTCCAGAGAATATGGTTTGCAAGCCCTATATTTTACCCTGTACCTTTCCAAGACACCATAAAACCTGTACATAGGGAGGTACTGTTTTACTCAGGAGACTTTACTGAACACAAATATTAGTGTTTCAAAACCGTAAAAAACATATCACAACAATGATATTGTCTGTGAAAGTGCAGTTTTTTGCAGTTTTCACACACAAACAGCACATTCACTGATGATATAATTGTTGTGATAAGTTGTAATGTTTGGAAACACTAATATTAGTGTTCAGAGAAGTCTCTCGGGTATAACAATACCCGCCATGTACAGGTCTTATGGTGTTTTCAAAAGTTACAGAGTGTAATATAAAACTTGCATTTCCACTTTTTCACATTAAAAATCGCCAGATTGGTTATGTTGCCTTTGAGACCGTATGGTAGCCTAGGAATGAGAATTACCCCCATGATGGCATACCATTTCTGGGTTACCATACGGTCTCAAAGGCAACATAACCAGTCTGGCAAATTTCAATGTGTATAAACAAAAAAATGTAATGTGCTAAATTTGACTCTGTAACTTTCCAAAACACTATAAAACCTGTACTTGGCGGGTACTATTTTACTCATGAGACTTCACTGAATACAAACTTGCATTTTATTGCAGTAACCGCTAACAGTATTATGACATTCACAGTTAAAATGCCATGCAGTATTAAAGAAATTTTAAAAAATCTTAATTTTTCAAATTTTTTTTTACATTGTACTCATATTAAATTAGGTTTAATATATAAATATTTGTCACATGAAAGTCCTGTTTCTCCTGAACAAAATGATATATAATAAGTGTGAGTGCATTTAATATGAAAGAGGTGAATTACGGTTGGACAGACATTTAGCGCAGATGCCAGGTTTTGTTTACGTTTTGTTATTATCACAACTTGTACAACTGGGTCAGTCCTTAATGGGTTAAATTGTTTTTTGTTTTGTTGTTTTGTTTAATTCCCCTCCATTTCTTTTTTTTAATTAAAACGGAGGACTGAGTATAAAATAATAAAAGAGCACACCTCGTTTTAAAAATACTTTGTTTTTAAATTATTGTACCTATAGCCATTTTTTTATTTTTAATTAGTAAAATAAAGTGCACGTGTGATGTAAATATGGAGAGAAAAGTTTTCTCTAAACATTTTTGCATTGCATTATGCATCCATAATATGCTAATTTACTTTTGATAAAGAACCATAGCAACACACGAGGAAAGTCTGCATTCAAGTAGTTTAAACTAATCTCTTCTCCAGCTTTAAAATATGTGCTGGTAGATATTTTTTTTTTCAGTCAACTTTTTTGTCCAGCCTTCTCTATAATGTTGTTCGGAGATATTACGTATTTTCTGAGTCAGATTTTTGCAGTCACTATTACATATTTGATTTTCATAACCACGTCTTGATTTTCCCTTTATTATTTATGCACAAAAGTCTTCTTATTTTTGTGCTGCTGTCACGAAGCTGATTTAATAGTGAGCCTGTAAAATAAAAGATTTGGCAACTTCAATTTCTTTCTTGTTCATTTTGAATTTATTTAAAGATCCAGTTGACATGTTTGCCTTCTGGGTTTTAAAATCCTCCCCATTGTTTGCACTCATTCATTTTTCTTCTTAGGTATGTAAGATTTTCTTTCACTGTCTATGTGCAATCATCATTATATGTTAAAGTTTATTCTGTTTATTTTGATTTATTGTAACCTAGTTTTCACTTAACTCAACTTTCCTTATAATTTATTTAGCTTTAATCATTTATTTCATCACCATACATCTATTTGTATCCATCAAGTTCTTCAACTTAAGCAAATAAAATCTGCTGGCACACCCATACCATGTGTAAGTATGAGTATGACTATAGTTTACCTTGATCATTAGTTGGTTCGCTAAAGTCATTGACGCAGAAGTAGATTTTTTTTTAATCTTTCTCAGTTATCCATTAATGGATTCTACTTTTTTATTTCTTTCTTCAAGATAGTTCTTGTATAATGTTCAACATTACCTTGATAGCATGCCAGACCGAAGCACTTGTGTGCTAATTAGGCAATTTATGTAGCCGTTTAAGGTCTCGCGCTGACTGGGACAAAACCATAGTGCAGACTGGCCTTTCGGGTCCTCAGTCCGTGACCAAGGGCCCAACCCTAGGAGAGGGCCTGGCAGCATACAGGTGGTTCCTCCTGTGGTGAATGCCCAGCACAGTCTATGGTCTGCTAGCTGTAGACTGTGGAGTAAGTATCTAATGATCTCTGGCCAGTCGGAGCATTGCGGATTTCCACGGCAATGCTCTGATATTTCCTGATCTCGCAAGACACGACTGGTTATCAAGACCACCAGGGAGAGAGCCTCTCCCCACACTGTGGTGTAACCCACCTCCTATTCACTATCTCACACTCACACACACACACATTCTGTCACCCCCTCACTCCATACACATTGTCACCCCCTCCACACACCCTGTCAACCCCCTCCCACACAGTATTCCACACACATTGTCAAAGACACACACTGTCACCCCCTCCCACACACCATGTCATACACACACACTGTCACCCCCTCCCACACACACACTGTGATAACATTAAACTCCCCGAATCTTATCACACTTATGTCCCCTCGCCCTGTCACACTACCTTCCCAACCGTGCCGCACTTACCCTGTCTCACACACCCTCCTCCAACTATGTAACATTCCAGATCTATCTATATATTTATATGCAACCACAATCCAATTTATATTTAAAGTGAAATCGCATTATCATTATTCTTATTAAGAAATATTAAAAAATATATAAAAAAAAACTCTCCTTCATCATATACAAAATTTTCTTGAAAAATCACCTATTCTAAATCTAATGTGCAAAAATAACTACATGAGTATGGCTTACAATCATACTTTAAATTAAACATAACAAAACCCTGAGCATTAGGTGTGGGGATAAAACAAGACAGACTAGATAATCTAAAACAATCCTTTAACTATGACTGGAGACAAAACTACCTGACGTTGTTGGGCAAGCAACCACCTCACAAGTTTTATTCAAGCTAAACTATCAAAAACTATAAACAGACATTGACACCACGCTAACCCAATGGAAGAGCAAATACCTTTCATGGCTGGGCAGGGGTGCCGCAATTAAAATGATCCTCCCCAGGATCTTGTACTTATTTTGCACACTACAAATACAATTCATGAAAAAAAACTCCAAACACTGCAAAAATTTTATTGGAACATCAAAATACCTAAAGTTCCAGGTCGATTACTTATGCATGTGGCGGGGAAGGGTGGGTTTGGCTTCCATACAATAAAAGAATACTACAAAGCGGCACATCTAGCTAATATCCTTGCAGGTCACTCACACACATATGTGCCTCAATGGAGGGACTTAGAATCCAGCAAATTGGGGGGCAACACCTTACTAGACCTACTATGGGTACCAAAATCTAACCGCACACTCCCGCCCTTGACCCTCCCACTTACAAGTTTGTTGTTCTCTTGTTGGGACACTGTAAGACACAGAATTCGATCCTCTCACGTATGGTCACCAGTGACTCTGCTGAGATCAATAAAAATACTCATCCCAACGTTTCCCATTGGGTCATATCATAAAATAACACATCTCCACCACATTACAAGCAACCATACACTGAAAACCTTCCAGGTTCTCCAACAAACATATCGCATACCTCCATCGAACTATTTCTTATACCTTCAACTCAGACATGCTCTAAAAGGTCTTGACGACACCAGACACCAAATAGTAAAAGAAACCGATATGTCCACTTTTGAGACCGGAAACCACATAAACTACTCTCTCTGTTACAACACACTCATAAATACTATAGACATCCCCTTATGGAATTTTCATAAAAAGGGGCATAAAGACTTAGGAAAAGATCTATCCCCCGATACATGGTCTAGGGCATTTTCCTTTACCAAGGGTCTATCGTCTTGTGCATCTCATGCAGAGATAACCTATAAACTTTTATACAGATGGCACCTTACTCCATACAAACTTGCCAAAATGTACACTTATGTTGATAGTATGTGCTAGAGATATAACAAAGAAAGGGGTACTACACTGCCCACACATTGTTACATTTTGGAAGCAAGTAAACAAAGTTACTGTTATTACACACATCACTATACAACCATCCATAGAGTTATACCTACTGTATATTTTCCCAGATGATTTACCTAAACCAGTAAGTAAGCTTATGTACCTCATTTTGATGGTTGCTGCCATTTTAATGGCAAAGAAATGGAAGTCGGGGAAGGTGCAATCTACAAACGAATAACTGACCCAGGTGTCCACAAACTTAGAGTACGAACTAATGGCTTCCAAACTGCTAAATATGGGGAAAGCAGCAGAGGGGTCCACCCAGATATGGATGGATTACATGTTAACTTACCACTCCTAAACTCACAGTATGGGATATGAGGTTGTTTTAGAGAATAAAAAAAAAGTAGATCACAAGAGCACAGTCAAGTGAGAAGAGAAATTGATATATTGTATTAAGGTCCACTAGTTTTTGTTTATTTTATGTTTCCGTTTGTCATGTTATTACTCGGTTGTTTCGCTATACTTTGTGTTACAAAATGAAAATACTGTGAATATTAATGTCTAGCCAGGAAACGTATGTGAAAACACAGATATACACACACTCCTTTCTTTATGTACTCTTAATGGCCATACCACTGATGCAAGAACTCATCAGAGTGGCGGAGAGAAAATATACAATGTGAATGCTATGTTTTCACATTGTACACAGTTACACATATACTCACTCTGTCACCTACTGAAGACATTCATCATACACGACATACATCATAAAATGTACCTTTGCCATATATACAATGCACAAAGTTATAGGCAGCCATCATAAACAACACACCGCAAGCAACTATCCCACACCCATTCGGTCACAGACACAAATATACACATAGTAACAAAAATATACATTCACACACAAGGATGCTGCCTGTCACACACACTGTCAAGCACATACACAGGTAGACAATGCCAGATTCTCATAAATACACATAGCCAGATACACATTATGATTTTTTTTTGTATTTGTCAATGTGTGTCTCTCTGCATCAGTGAGTTTGTGTGTGTATGCATATGCGTGTATCAGAGAGTGTTTTTATGTGTCTATGACTGTAATGTGAGGGTGGTATGGTATGGGCAATGCAAAGGTAAAGTGCTAACATCTAATATATATATATCGTTAAACAGAAATACCGGCAATATAGGCTTTTCCAAACTTTCTTTCTTTTACTGAAAAAAAAAACCAAGTCAATGTTTCAGTTCCTGTATGGAACTTTCATCAGGACTTATATGTCCTGATGAAAGTTCTGTTCGAGAACTGAAACGTTGACATGGATTTTTTCAATTAAAGAATGAAGTTTTGGAAAAGTCTAGAGTGCTGGTATTTCTGTTGAAAGATATCTGTTTTGTTGCTGGGCACCGGGTATTGGACTTAAGGTTGTTATGGAAAAGTTTGGATTTCTTTATATGTAATATACATACATATACAATACACGGGGAAACACGTATGTATATTATATAGGATAATGTAAAGTGAAAGTATTATGGAATATGTGGAGAAAATATCTATGCAACTGTTTTCTTATCTTTAACTTTATTATTTTGGAAATTATTTTTTTAGATGCGTTTATACTCAACCTAACTTCAACAATCCCTTCACACCGACACTGATGTATACAAGATTGCCAAGAAGTAACAATACCTCGCAATTGTGTATAAACAATTAGCATAATTGCCAATTAAATGTGTTTATTGCAAATGTATTTAGTTTGCAAATTATACCATAACTACAGTCAGAGGAGCTCACAACATAGCAGCACAATGCAACCCCTAATTTTTTTCACTTTGGGTGTTAGTGTGGGCCTCATGTTTCAGTTTCGCAAAAGGGCTCACAAAGTTTAGAGCCGCCACTGGCTAGATGTAATTGCAATGATGGATGTGGCATTGTGTTTCTTTGTTTAAGGTAAATAGACTTATCTAATTCATCCTTGGCCACTAAATCATCTTTCAAAAATGCCGGTAAACTGCAAACAAATTATTATATCATCTTCTAGGTTTAGAATAAATATTTCTTTATTGTATCTATTTTTGATGTATAGTTTTTAAATTCTTTATTTTCCATTGACCGTGTTACAACTGATAACAAGTTTATACAATGTATGACTTAGAAGTCCAACAATTTTTTAAATAAGCAACATACCAGTGGAATGGCAGTGGGCTACAGCCGTAAGTTGTCAAGGGCAACCTTGGTTGTTGAATAGCGAAAGAAGGAAGTGGAAAAAAATAGTCCTTCTGGGGGAAAGAGTAAATAAAGGAAAATTAGATCTATCTATTACCCTTTTGATAATGGGACCCGGAATTGGACCAGAGGTTAGTGCTAATCACACTTTTTAGTCGAGGTAGGGTGTTTTTCATTCAAACGTCTGCTTTTCTTTGCTTAGCTGCAAGGGTAATTTTGGTGAAAAGCATATGTTCAGCATATTTGAATTCTTTCACATTTTTGACAGAATAAAAGACAAATGACATACACCTATATGTCTCATGAAAACCTCAGAAACAATTTGTTATACTCTACCAGAGATGCTTGACTTTTGGCCAATTCCACCACATATGAAAATATGTCCCATTATAGACACATTTATCCTAACACAGATCTGTAGTAGTTTAAACCATATGGTAAATCCTAAAATGAATGACATAATACCTAAAAAGAAGCTAACATGCCTCTTCTTTAGAAATTTGTACTAACGGAAGCTTTAGCTGCAGACTGCCGTATGCTCTTTAATTTTTCACTATCCCCAAGGTCTGTCTTCCATCTGTCCTTGTAGCACAACCGGGCCCCTTTCCTCTGTGGAAATATAATTTAAACATTTTTCAATAGTATATAAACTATTGGATCCCATTGAACTTCTCTTTAAAAATTGTCATGTCTCCTGGGGGAAAAAAAATCCTAGTCATGATTGAAATAAAATAATTGAAATAAAATAAAGAGAAAGGGCTAGAATATTGAACAGAACATAATCTGTTCAATATTTTAACATTTTCTCTTTATTTCATTCCTTCATTTCCTTTTTATCACCCTCCATAACGAGCCTCAGTCTGACCTCCTCTCCTCTCATGGCTTAAAACGTAATTCTTTACAGATGGCATCTATTTCATGACTACCCCATTCTTCATACCTACACTCTTCTTTTTGGAATTTATTTTGCGTCTTAATATGGTCATGTTCCACATGGATTACTTCTTTAAACAGTTGTGGGTGATTGCTTCTCCCCAACTGGAGAAAGAGACCCAATCTCAGAACATCTTGCAGACTATTCCGTCTTCTGGTTTTTCCATGTTGCCTTCCTCAGTTATGGTTCTGGCTCCTTTGGAGATGATTGGACTTCATGAAGCACTAAAAATGTTATGAATTATTGCAATAAAAGTGCCCTGTCAAGGGATTTTACCCTGTGTAAGTCAGTGCAGGAAGAATAGAGCAAACACAGGTTCTGCGCGTAAATAGAATTGAAACAATAATTAAATGCAATGTCTGCACATTCTGAACAAATACACTGTGAACAATCTTTAGATCTCTTCATAAGCTCACCATATGCACCTTGAGATATGGTAATCCTCAGCCTATTTAGAGCTTGGATAATTTTGCCTTATAAACATAGCTAGTATAAAAAGAGACAGAACAAGAATCTTAGTGTGCAATAAAATGAAAGTGAATTATTACAGGCTATACAGAAGATGTTTACATCAAAAAAGTGTGACTTCACAGTTAAGAGTCTTGCAAATACAGTTCAACTATTCAGCTCTCCAAAGATAAAACGATTTGATTGCTTACTTTTGGACAGCCCTATTGGACTCACGATGCCATACTCACACATTTTAGTGATTTTAGTAGTGGTGAATAGACAGCTCTTGATCTAGCCTGCTTCCACCACCTTCTTTTGTTTAATCACTACAAAATGACTAAGCTATATAAAATTCTATATGTCCTTGCTTTAAAAATTTTTTTTTATATCTTTTAACCTCAAAGGTTTTTAAATGCTAGTAGAAATTAACCCATAAACGCCATTATGGCATACCATAACTGCTTGCTCCTGGAGCTCCGGCGTACTTACCTCTGTTGCGATCTGCTTCTAGGTAACTGCCTGACAGCCCAGGCAGTCCAATCCTATGAATCAGGTCCCCATGGGCCATGTGATCACTCTCAAATGGCCGCAATAGCTGTCTGTGGAGATGGGCTGTCAGGCATCTCACAATAAATATATATGTGTGGCGAACAGAACCTTGACACTGCACCAATAAACAGTGGTAGTATAAAATAAAGGGGTAGCACACCAAAAATACAAAACATACAACCTGTATGTAATACAGAGCAGTTCCTGAGAAATCTAAAAATTGGAAAGAATTGTACAATAGTTGTCAAGGCTGTAAAGAACACCAAGGTCAGTCCCGGAGGTAGAGAACTTACAGACAATATAGATGATCTGCGCTTATCTCCCTCTTTATTATAGGGTATCTCAGGGCAGCACTGTGATTCTTGTCGTAGAGGATTTTGATATTAATCAAAATATATATAAGGGAACTCCCATCCTCAAAGAAAGAATATGTATATAGAGAAGTATTGTGGTACTGATTGCACTTACATAAAACTGGTTTTAGGTCAGCATATCTCCATCCAACAGATGGTACCAAACCATAGAAGGTTCAACTCGAACAATAATAAAAAAAAAAAGTATAGCAGCAAAAATATAAATAAAACAACTATAAAAATACAAATAATGAAACCTAGGATAAAAATGTCCCAGATAAAAATCCAACGCGTTTCATCTTTACGACTTCCTCCGGGATATACAGCAGAACTTCGAAAGAACTTCTTTTTATATGTTCCAGACAGTTTTTCGAAAAATTGGCGCCAAAAGATCAGTACTTCCGCATTTCGTCTGAACTTCCAATCCGATTGGACGAACGTGATGACGATCACGTCCATGTTTGCGGGCATTAAATGTTTCCGCGTTCCACCGTGGAACGCATATCGTCAAAGGCTCTGGATGAATCTATTTCGCGTTCCAGCATGGAACGCACTACAGCTATAGGAAAAAACACAACAACCAGAAAAGAAGAAACGAAGGGAGAACCCTTCTCATACATAAAAAACTAGGCTGTAATAAAAAATGTATATATAATAAGTGAATGCAGAAACCATATAAAAATGACCTTGTGTAATACACAGATATTGATACATATACAGAAAAAATATATATATATATATATATATATGATCAAGTTAATAAGAGATGAGAGGGGGAGAAAACAAAAACAATAACAACTAAACAAGAAATCAAAGAAGTCCTATTAAATCAATTTCCTGATTAAGACCTGTCTTTAAGGTCTTAAGAGTATAAATCCAAAAGGCTTCTTTTTTAGCTAAATCATTAATTCTACTTCCCCCTCTCCAATTCATAGCAACCTGATCAATACCAATGGCAATAAAAGTGGACCAATTAAACATACTACAGGTCTTACAATGATTGGAAACACTATGATCCACTTTATTTGTCCTAATATTGTTGAAATGTTCTCGGAGTCTGATATGTAGATTTCTAGTGGTTCGTCCCACATACTGGGCACCACATCCACACTGTAACAGATAGATTACAAATGTTGACGTACAGTGTATAAACTTCTTAATATTGTATGTTTCTTTTGTATTAGACCGCATAAAAGACACCGTTTTTCTTTTTTGGTGAGTACAAGTAGAGCAGGCCCCACATTTATGAAAACCCGGGGTTCTTTTTAGCTGTAAAAAATTATTTTGTAGAAGAAGTTGGTTTGGTAAAAGACTCGGTGCCAATTGGTTTTTTAAATTGTCTGCTTTTCTGTATATGACCACCGGTTTTTCAGGTAACTTTTCTCCCAAAATTTCATCTTTTTTCAGAATTGCCCAATGTTTTTTTAGAATTTTTTTGATTTTTTTTTTAGCCTAAAAACTATATTTAGTAATAAAAGCAAACTCTGTGTGTCTATTACTATCTTTATTGTTACATCTATTGTCTTTATTTATTAGAAATTCTGAACGGTTCTTGTTTTTAATTTTTGAAATATCACTTTTAATTTTTTCTACATTGTAACCCTTTTCTATATATCTATTTTTTATAATTTTCGATTGTTCTTCAAACATCTGTGTGCTAGAACAATTTCTCCTCATTCGGGTTATTTGTCCCTTAGGGACATTGTTCAACCATGTAGGATGATGTAAACTGGTCTTTTTTATGGCCGTGTTACAATCTGTTTTTTTAAAAAAGGTCTTAGTATTCAGAATCTAATTTTCTACATATAAGGTTAAAACCAAAAAGTCTATGGTAGTCGGATGAATATTAGAAGTGAAATGCAAATTGTATTGGTTTAGATTTAAAGTTTCAATAAATTTTTCTAACCCTTGAATGTCTCCTTCCCAAACTATAAGAACATCATCTATGTATCGTCGCCAGAGGACGAGGCTCCCCCCCAGGTATGGTCCCAAATGGAAGCAAGAGGCCTCCCAATGGGACACATACAGATTTGCAAAACTGGGGGCGAACCTCGTCCCCATGGCGACGCCACATTGTTGTAAATAAAAATTGGAATCAAACCAAAAAAAATTCTTGGTTAAAACAAAATCAATACACGAAACCAAAAAATCTATTTGTCCAGAATTTAAAGTGTGTTGTTGGATTAATACATCTCTGATAACCTCCAAACCCTTTTTGATGGGATATTGGCGTACAGAGAGGTAACATCCACCGTAGCTAATATGTAAGATGGTTTTACAATACTACTCTATATACATATTCTTACTTTGAGGATGGGAGTTCAATTGTATATATTTTGATCAATATCAAAATCCTCTACGACAAGAATCACAGTGCTGCCCTGAGATACCCTATAATAAAGAGGGAGATAAGCGCAGATCATCTATATTGTCTGTAAGTTCTCTACCTCCGGGATTGACCTTGGTGTTCTTTACATACTTCACTATTGTACAATTCTTTCCAATTTTTAGATTTCTCAAGAACTGCTCTGTATTACATACAGGTTGTATGTTTTGTATTTTTGGTGTGCTACCCCTTTAATTTATACTATCACTGTTTATTGGTGTGGTATATTTTTCCTATTTGTATTATATTGTGATTTGGTGTATGTGAGGTACACTTTTGGGTGTTTAGCATTACCATTTCTGGCCTTTTTTTGGTATATTATACAGTATCTACTTGTTACACAGAACCTTGACACTGGTTCTTGGAGGGGCCTTCTGACCAGCCTCTTGCCCCAGGACTATGGCCCCTGAATAGACCTGGCTAAAATACATTAAAAAGTCTCTATTCATACAATTGGGATTATATGGTTCAGTTAACGAACAACCGCACGGACCAGAGACTATCCTGGAGCTTGTTAACACCTATTAACAACTTGGAACGTTTCTCACCGCAGTGTTCTAATTGTTCGTCTGGGTGGCCGCAATTCCTATGGACAACCACGAGGTGGTGGCCATCTTGTTCGCATGAACGCAGGCAGCGGTGTTTGGGCATGAATCTCATGGAACTAAAATTGGACACAGAAACTCCCGAACATCGCCTGTGTTTGGTTCTATACAAGGGCACTTCTAAAGAATTATTATTTTTATTGGTTTTTATAAAAAAAACCTGAAAACCCCTGGAAGTTTCCTGCATTTAAAGAAATCCAAGGTGGGGATCAATCCACCCAAGCTGTCATCACGGAGCAGTTGGTCTGCTCTGGTTTTGTAAGTACATTCTTTTATTATTTTTATCAATATTGCTATACAGTGAGCACTATTGGCTGTCTCTTTTATTTCGAGAAACTGGACACGTATCACAGAGAGGAACCCATCTATATCCCATAAGCGGGGATCAAACCGCCGTATGCGCTTTATTCCAGAGCTAGGACATTAGCTCTGATAAATGTGAGTTTTATATTATTATTTCTACACATCCATATTAGAACTCTACATACTACACTATTGGTTGTCCCCCTCTCTCTTTTTATCTTTCATATAAGTGGACTCACTACAAAGTAGAAGACGTCAACAGCAAAGACTATCTGTAAGGACAATAACATTGGACTTTTCCTTCTTTCTAATTGGACTTTATTTTATTTAAAAATAACTTTTTTATTTTTTCCAATTTTATCTGTGTGCGCAGCCTTTTTTCTTCTTTTTTCTTATTTTATCCAAATTAAAGGGTTTGAGGGATCCCCTTTAAAAGGTTGCTGCCTATAAGTTATCTAGCGCTGTCTTTCTCTTTTTCCTTGTTACCACTTCTAAAGAAGCCTTATCAGGCGAAACGCGTTAAGTGGGACTCTCCTTTATACTTTTTATGTTTTATACTATGTTTGTTTATATTAAAGTATACTTTTAATAGATACTTTTTATATTCACTCTTTTTGTTACTTCCTGGATCCTGCATATCCCTGGTGGGGATTATACCACCCAGGCTGTTCATACTAGAGAAAGTTTTATGCTCTATAAATTGTAAGTACATTACTATTTATTATTTATCTCATCATAAGTACTTACTTCACCATTGGCTGCTATTTCTTTTTACCACGCATATTGCACTTTGAAATACCCTAGTCAACTAGAACAACATATCCTGAGACGGGGATCGTACCGTCCAAGCGCATCACAGTTGAGCTCTGTTATAGCTCATATAAATGTGAGTGGATTGTGTATAGTTATATTCACCACTTCACGATATAATTTTACTGTATTGCACTATTATTTTTTATTCTATTTTATTCTGAGGTTGTCGATTTATCGGAAATACCTGTGAATATATGTACGTACATCTTGTATTTATATAAATTATTTGCGCGGTATACGCTCTCTTTTTTCTCTTATCTATCCACAAGTTTTTTGGGAATCCTTATTTTGTATACTGCTGCTTGTTCACAGTTCACTGGCTGCTCACTGTTTACTAGACATGCCGTGAGTAGGGGCAAAATTTACTAATACTAAGTAATCTTTACTTAGTATTAGTAAATTTGGCTGAAAGACCAATTTAGGTCTTTCAGCCTTTTTGGTAGATAACTCCCTAATACCGTGGGAATTAGGGAGCTATCTACCAAGCGGCTGCAAGAAAAGTCCCGAAATGCCAAAGTTCCAAAGTGTCTAAGTTGCGAAGTTGGCGAAGTTCCGAATTGATGAAGTTCCGAATTTCGGAATGCTGAACCAAGCCGAATATTTTCCCCATGCACATGCCTACTGAATGCGGTCTGTACAGCTTTTCGCATCTGGTCTTCTCTGTCTTTTGTCATGTCATATTTATTTTGATTATGATTTTCTTTACGCAAAGTTGACAAGGTATAAATGAATGTGTAATATAAATCAATATAACACCATTATACAGCAATATATGTCTGTACAAAGATGTTTTTTTTCTTGCTACATTAACTATGGGTAGCTTCTCCTCTCTCATCTAAAAGGACAGAAAAATTACGAAGTACAAGACATTTTGCAGATTTTTGCCTTTCCTTTTCTTTCCTCTCAAATGTGATACATTTGCCCCGGTGAACATCTTTCTTTTTGTGATTCATTTGAGTATATTGTTCCTCCTTCACATCAATTGGTTCTGACACCCTCCCTTGTTTCAGCATTTTGAGCCAAGTCTAGAATAGGCTTGCCTTAACTGTTGGCCTGTAACCATAGGCACCTGTAGGCACTGTAACTATACAATCTAATTGAATTGGTTATAATGCTCTGAGTTTTCTGGCACTGTCCCTCCATATAGTGCTAAACCATTTTCAAGTGATTCACCATGGCCACCCACAGCCTAGCCCTTACGTGGAGGTATGGAGAAGGCAGAGATTACACACTTCCTTCTAGGCATATCAATTCATAGGAGCAATCACTCAGCCAATAACAGCTGTTCAATCTTGTTCAGGCTCTTTCTTCCTCATTATCCCTAGCAGAACAGAGGTAATGGACTGCTGAAGGCATTCAATTAGCATTAAAATATTAAAATGGTTGAATTATGAATTTTTAAAAATTTATTTATAAAATGTTTTACCAGAAAGGATACATTGAGACTTCTCTTGTTTTCAAGTATATGTCCTGGGTCCACAAAACATTACATTGTTACAATAGGATACAATATTACAAAAATACAATATACAAACTATATATATATATGTACCACATAACAGGTAATAAATATATTCAACAATGACAGGTGCATTCTGTGCTGAGGTATATTGCCATCGATCTCTTAAAAGATTTTAGATTGAATGATGATTTGATTGTGTCACTGGGGTTATTCCATAATTGCAGTGCTCTGTTAGAAAAGGAGGATCGAGCCACTTTATTTTAGTATTGCGGTATGCTAAATATTGTGCCAGTACTAAATCGGAGGTTATAGAAGGTGGTAACAGCTGGGGAGAGCATTCTACTCAGGTAGGGTGGGAGCTTCCCAGAAATGCTCTTATGCACAAGGCTGGAAAGATGAAGAGTGCTTTGGGATTCTTGCGACAACCGGTTTAGCTCTTTTAACATGTCACAGTGGTGGGTAAAATAATTACATTCCAGAACAAAGCGGCGGAACTAATTATATAACGTATTAAGTTTATTAAGGTGGGTTTGTAGTGTGGGTGCATACACTACATCCCCATAATCAATGACCGGCATTAGCATTTGTTGCACTGTTTCTTTACTGTAGGGCTTAGACAGGATTTGTTTCTGTACAGGGCACCTAGTTTTGGGTAAAGTTTTGAAGAGAATTTTTCAGTGTGAAGGCCAAAGGATAGATTGGGGTCTAGCAACAGACTGCTGTCAGTGTGCTTTTTAAATTTGTTCTGATACACAGTTGTTGATTTTGTAGTTTACGTAATTTAGGTACAGTTTCAAAGATCATTGTAACAGTTTTGTCAGTGTACTCAACACGATAATTACTTCAACGATATGAAGCGTCTCCTTAAGGCACACTCGATTCTGACTGTAGCTTTCGCCACTCATCAAATGGGCAGGGATATGTTTCACATGGTGCACACGGAAAAGCTTATAACCCAGAAGATTATCAACAAAAGCAAAAAGAATATCCAGCATTCATTGTTTTGGGAATTTGTGTGTGCAAAATCTTCTTTTTGCTTTTGTTTGCAGAATACTGTAAGACTGGTTTTCTTTGCAAAGCCCCTTCCTGTATTCTTTGAATATGCTTCTGAAGCATTCTTGTCTACATATGGGCGATGTTACTGATGCCCAGTTTAGCAGGAACATTTTTGAATCCGTTTCTAAATAGATGTGTTCCTTTTGTTGTATTCTAATTAAGATTGCTATGCAACACTTTGTTTTGGTTGGCTATTATGCACTGACAATGTAAAAATACTGTTAATTAATTTGCTGTGTATTCATTGTTTCATTGTCAAAATATGGTTAACTAATGTGTTCACAATTGAAGTGATATAACTATGATCTATGAGGCGAACTGTTTCTGAGAAGCAATCGTGTTGGTGATTGGAAAATACCATAAAATGGTACAGCAATTAAAGCATGTTTTATTATCCTGTTTGTAAACCAAATAGTGCAGATAAATTTGTAATCAAGTGAAGGGTCATTCACTTAAAGTTTGGAAGAAACTTTTAGATACTATTTTAGTTTTGGGGCTATATTCATAAAATGTTTGGTCTTAAATTAATTGTTTATATTTACTGGGACGATCTGGCCTGATTAAGAAGAGATCCGAAGCATCTGAACTAGTATTTCACTAGCCCAGTGAGTATTAGGATTTTCTGTCCATTCTCTCTTTTTATGTGTTTGCCGGCATATGTAAGTTTATAACACATTTTGAAATGTTTTGAAAGTGGTGGAGTTTGTGACAAATATTGCTATGGAGAAATTTAACAACAGAAGATGTATTCTTTACTTACTGTTATGTTGAAATGGCGACTTTGCCTCATTACCTTTTTTGGGCTTTTAATCTATTTAGATATAAAGATGCTTTTGTTAAATTTATGTGCTATTGAGGTAGATGAGCTACTCATTGTCAATGCTGCCATTGAAACAAAGCTTCTAAAAGAAAATGTTTGTAAAAAAAAAATGTGTACATATTTTATCGTCTTATATATCTGACAATGCAATTAAGTTGCAAATGTCACTGAATAAACTGTAGCTTGAGAAAAAGTGTCACTGAATAAAAATCTGTAGGCCTAGACACATGTTCTGCAATCAGATATTACAAGTCGAACATTTGCTCTACTCTCCTAATTCATTTCAAGATGGACACAGTCTATCTAAAGAAGGAAGAAAGAAACCACGTTTTGCACTTTACCCAATTATCTTTTCTAATGTTGATATGAAATTATACTCCAAAATGTTGCAAACTTGTTCACCCTGATCAAGTGGACTTGATACGAGACAGGTTTTCTGGTTTTATTAGAAGTTGTTTTCTTAAGCCATTATGGCAAAGTCTCATATCTATAGCTTAAAGATTTTATTCACATGCATATGATTTAATATACTCCATTACACAGCCAGCAACTTCCCCATGAATGCAACTGGCCATTCCTGCACTTCTCAATGAGCTATAGCACTGGTCAGTGTGGCTGCCAAGATCAATACTCCCTATCAGTTATACATTCATGATTCAAGGTGAGTAAGACCGGAAATCCTCCTGGTTGTCTGGTTGACAGCCTGGAAGGTGCAACAACAATGTTTAACAAAAGTGTAGATTTCTTGAAATAAGCCTGCAAAGTAGATAAATTAGCTGAACTGCTTTAGGTTCTTAAGGTGTTCCTCCAAGACAGAAATGTGTGACTTTTAACGAACTAGGACTTTAACCCATAAACGTTGTTAGAGCAAAGCCAGCTTAAACAACCTTAGGACGACATGGAATTCCCTAACAGTTTGCAACCCCCAGGCCAGAGAAACTTACCTACGGCTGCAATTCATGCTGATCCTGGTTGTGGGGGGGACTGCCTGACAAGCCAGGCAGTCCCCCTGCATCCAGTCTGGCACTCCCGGAACATGTGATCATGATGGCCACAATAATTGGCTTCCGATCTACCTGCTGGGGCACAGTCTGAGTTGTCAAACAGTCCCCCAGAGATGGAAATGTTTAAATAAAGTTTAAAAAACATTGACTTTTTGTTTCACATTATGCACTTCACTTTGTGCACATTTTAACCAATAGGAAATAAACGCTAAGTTTTATTCTAAAAACCGTAAGTGCAGACTACAGTACTTTATTTTTCTATACATGCATGTAACTACTTGTCTGGCACCAAGCATTTAACTTTTGAAGCTTGTGGAGTGTTGGAGCCTGAGTGCAGAATTGATATTATCAAGTATATATCTACTGTGTATATATATGGCTGATGATATTTATATCATCTGCCATAAACCCATAATGATGTTATATAATGGTGTTAATATATATAATATAAAATAATAATATGCAACCCCATTATGCCAGATAAAAAATATATATATATATATATATATATATATTCTCAACATCCCAGAAGGATTTAGTGCCCCCAATACAACGTCCCAGAGAAAAGCACTCAGAGGGCTTGTAGTCTTGTGCAATATATCCTTTATTTGTGCAAGGTATGGTCAACGTTTTGGCCCGACTTCAAAACCAAAAAAAAGTCCAAAGTACCTTTGCACAAATAAAGGATATATTGCACAGACTACAAGCCCTCTGAGTGCTTTTCTCTGGGATGTTGTATTGGGGCACTAAATAACACCGAGGCAAGAACAGGAAAGGAATGTGAGTGCCAAGCCGATGTTGGATATATATATATATATATATATATATATTCAAAATACGAGTATAAAATTCTATATATATATATATTGTGATCCTTGTCACCAGGTAGCACGGTCCTCTAGGGCAAAAACATGCACAGTCCTTGTAGTTGCAAATACTTCAGGCACTTTATTTGTTTATCCACACAGGATACAGCAGTAAATGAAAATCAAAAGTAACAGAAAACCCTATAAACAAACACCTAGCTCGTCTGAGCACTAACTGACATTAGTTCCCTAACTCTCAGGGTTAAACTAAACACAATATTGCACCAACCTTATTAGTTAGCAACACTCTGCTGCCTAGCCTGTTGCATTCCTTTCTGCACTCCCAGTGCTCCAAGCCAGCCTTGCCCTGACTGCTTTGCTTTCTGCACTCCCAGTGCTCCAAGCCAGCCTTGCCCTGACTGCTTTCCTTTCTGCACTCCCAGTGCTCCAAGCCAGTCTTCTTGACTATCTGGAGAGAACAGCCTCTCTCTCCTACCTGCTTCCTGGGAGGAAGCCAGCAATCCCTCTCCTTTTCCTGCCTAGCCGGGAGGAGTTTATTCCCACTGCAACAGCTGATTACCTGCAGCTGAGCAGTGGGTTGGAGACAGTCCAAAAAACCCTGGCCTGGATCTAGGTCTCCCCAGAACACCACTAAACTGTGGAGTGGAGCATTGGCCCACCCTTCTCTCCAAATGCTCCACCCCAGGGGCCCATAACTAAACAGTGTTTTGTGTTGTGCAACACACAAACTACACTTTCTTCCCCTGGGGTTAAAAGGCCTATCTGCCTTCACTTTATCACATATCCTCCCCCCCAGCTCAGACCCATCGGGTCGAGCGACCTTAGAACACAAACCACGAATGTTCACGTCACCTGGGGCTGTACCAGCCCTGACTTGCTCCTCAGTTACAGAATGTGGCCTATTGTAGATGGCTGCTACCTTGCTCCCTTGTAGTTTAAGGAATCCCCACCCAAGCGGACAACCCAAATAGTTAGCTGCCTCAAATCCTAGATAACACTTAGTGTTAGCGGTCAGACCAACAGCCCTTACATTATTCACAACTAACTGGACCTTCATCAGGTGTGCTTCCAAGTCCACTCTGTGAATCGCCACATCACCAAGGTAGGCAGCGGCATTCTCTCCGTGGGGCCAAAGTATCTTATTCATATGCTGAAAGGGGGCTGGTGCACTATGCCACCTGAATGGCAGTACTTTATGTTGCCATAACCCCTTGGGAGTAGAAAACGCTGTCCTTCCCTTTGCTGTCTCTGTCAGGGGAACCTGCCAATACCTTATGACCAGGTCCAAGGTACTCAGAAACCTGGCCTTACCTATACGCTCTTGTGTTTGAGCTACATGTACTACAGGGCATTTAACTTTTACTACCTCTGTGGCAAACTCTACCTCTGCCATGGGGTATGTGCGGGTGTCACCATGTGTACCCACATTATCAAACACTTGTCTTAAATCACATTTTTCTGGCTGGAGCAGAACACTTTTCAAAGTAACCTCACTCCTTGAATCTATCAATGTTTGTGCACTCTTCTCTACCACCATCACCACTTTTAGCTGTGCTGTAACACCACCACCAGTCACCATACACATCTTTAAGCAAGGCAATACTATCCTATGCAGAGCCCTTATTCCTATGTCACATTGTATTGGCTCTTCAGTCTCAGGACAGTTATATGCAATATGTCCTTGTATGTGGTAGTTGAAGCATCGGAGGTTTTTCTCAGTCTGGTCTCGTAGCCATAATGGGACTTTTGGGTACGTTCTGCCAGCATAGTTATATTGTCCCAGGCTCAGTATCAGGTTTGATAGTCTCTCAATGTCCGAGTTACTTTCAAATGCAAACTTTACAAAGGCTTTGCGTGTAATTAACTTTTCTATATCACTTATACGTCCGATTCCTTCATGAGCTAAATTTTCTGGGTGCTCAAACTCTTCAAGACCTGGTTCTGTCACCAGCTCATCCATCATCAGTTCTGCGAATTCCTGGGAGCCTTCATAGCTCCCTACGGCTAATGCTACAGGTCTCATCTCTATATCCTCAGGGGGTTGGCCAAGGAGGCTGTCTAGAGCACCCTCCTCCTGCATGAATGCAGCCCTTGATCCCAGCTCCATCCTATCATGCTCGGCCTGGCTTGGCATGGAGCGCTGTTCTACCTGAGGCCCAGACTCCTGGCTTAGTTCATCTCTCCTTTTCCTGGTTTCCTCCCCAGGGGTATCCTCCACTTGTTCGGCCTTGAGTGGCCACCTCTCAGTGTCAGAAATGCTTTCCTCTGGGCTGTCTGGCAGTCTCCCTGTTCCCTTGGGGGTGTCCAGAGACGCAGTCATGGCCTCTCGCTGGATCATGACAGCCCCGGTATCAAACAGCCGGTCAGGCAGTCCGAGTCCCGCCTTTAATTCCACGACTGTGTTCCCAGAGTCTGGCAGCTGTTCCAGGTAGTTAGTGCGCCCAGGCCTTGTAGCAGTAGTCTTTGCCAGCAGATCCAGTTCTATGGCTCCCAAACAATCCTTCAAAGTCTTTGTAGCAATACCAGACGTGTTTGAAATATTTAATTCAGCTGCGCCAATGTCACCTGCTTTGTAACTTTCGCCTTGGTCGGGCTTAGGTGCGGACGTGCCCATCTTATCACCACAGCTTGGTTCTGTAACTGTCGCTCTCTCTTGGCTTAGATCAGAAGCAGCTACTTTGCCTTTCTTTTCTCTGCCAAACTGTTCAACAGCTGGTCGACAATCTTGGGTAGCCTCGGCTACTAAACAGTGCACCGCATTGCTATACTCAGCTGGGGTGCTTTGCTTCTCTCTATTAAGCTCAGCTCTTTTGCAGTTGTCTTCTCTGACTCCCCAAGTCAGTCTGCTTTTCATGCCTTTAACTTGTTCACTTGGGTGTACATCAGGGGCTCCTGCTTCGTTTTCTTTTACATGTGATCCCCCTGGAATTGCATCTATTCCCTTCTCTTCACCAGTCCTTCTGGGCGCTTCACTTAGAAAATCTAGAACTCTTGTTTCTACTATAAAATCTGGGTTCCACAATAACTGGTCATCATTTTCATACACTCTTTCAGTTTCCTTGTACTTGCAGATGCCAACTGGAATCTCTGCCTGGAACATGGAACCAACCATTATTTCCTTTTGCCAGTCTTCTGAAGGAACATAATCCTCATCATCCTCTGATTCTTCTTCTATTTCATTATTTGCATCAAAATACTTGCACCTCCGTGGCCTGATTGCCTCTTGTACATCCCGACATGTAGCAGATGGCACTGTGTCATCGTTACATGATTGAGTCTCATCTTTGTTTTCCACACTGCAGGCACTGTTCCGGTCATTCTCCTCTTCTTCTTTCATTACCTTGGGAAGATTTATCAGTACCTTTCTGTTTTCAAATGTCTTTCCAGCATTCTCTTGAAACGTGCAAGATGCAGTTTCTGAGCGTGAAAATATTTTTGTTTCCAACTCTTTTCCCAGGATCGCTTTATCTGTTGTGATGCCACTTAGAGCAAGTTTGAGGCTTTCACGTGAAGCTGCAACATTTTGGTTCTCAAATAAACATTTGTCAACTTCAGTAATCAGTATGCCTCGCGCTCCTTTCTTACTTTGGTGCATGTCATCAGTGTCACCTTCTTCCACTACTTTCAGGCTCAATTGTATCTTTCTTGCCTTCTATTTCTTGTTCTCTCTCTTCTGTGTGTTTCTCAACATCAAGCTTTGCTGCCTCCATGCTTTTCAGCTTGCTAAAGACTTCTTCTACTGCCTCTGTCATCTTATGCAGGATGTCAGTAGCTTGGTTACGGGGTCCCTTGTCCCCACACACCCTGCTGGAGGCAATCTGCAAAACATCAGTAAGGGCAGCTCTATACTCCTGCTGAGCGTCCCTCAGGTTCTTAATCTGTGCAGCCAGGAAATGGTTGGTGTTTTGTTGTATAGCAGTTGCCTCTTGTTGTACAGCAGTTGCCTGTACCAGAGCCTTCAGCAGGTCCTCCATTATAGCACCAAGCAGGTAATAGTCTTAAAGGTACAGTGCTACTTATTTGATTAGCAGGTCTGCCAAAATAAGAGTCCTCAAGCAGACTACCGAATGACTGGCACACCCACAGACCCTCAATGTGCTACTTTGCCCGCATTCTCCACCATATTGTGATCCTTGTCACCAGGTAGCACGGTCCTCTAGGGCAAAAACATGCACAGTCCTTGTAGTTGCAAATACTTCAGGCACTTTATTTGTTTATCCACACAGGATACAGCAGTAAATGAAAATCAAAAGTAACAGAAAACCCTATAAACAAACACCTAGCTCGTCTGAGCACTAACTGACATTAGTTCCCTAACTCTCAGGGTTAAACTAAACACAATATTGCACCAACCTTATTAGTTAGCAACACTCTGCTGCCTAGCCTGTTGCATTCCTTTCTGCACTCCCAGTGCTCCAAGCCAGCCTTGCCCTGACTGCTTTGCTTTCTGCACTCCCAGTGCTCCAAGCCAGCCTTGCCCTGACTGCTTTCCTTTCTGCACTCCCAGTGCTCCAAGCCAGTCTTCTTGACTATCTGGAGAGAACAGCCTCTCTCTCCTACCTGCTTCCTGGGAGGAAGCCAGCAATCCCTCTCCTTTTCCTGCCTAGCCGGGAGGAGTTTATTCCCACTGCAACAGCTGATTACCTGCAGCTGAGCAGTGGGTTGGAGACAGTCCAAAAAACCCTGGCCTGGATCTAGGTCTCCCCAGAACACCACTAAACTGTGGAGTGGAGCATTGGCCCACCCTTCTCTCCAAATGCTCCACCCCAGGGGCCCATAACTAAACAGTGTTTTGTGTTGTGCAACACACAAACTACACTTTCTTCCCCTGGGGTTAAAAGGCCTATCTGCCTTCACTTTATCACAATATATATATATATATATATATATATATATATATATATATATATGATAAAGTAATACCGGCACTCAAGGGTTTCACCACAAACAAATCTTCATTTATTGCGAAGTATAGATCGACGTTTCAGCTCCTCACAGGAGCCTGTGAGGAGCTGAAACGTCGATCTATACTTCGCAATAAATGAAGATTTGTTTGTGGTGAAACCCTTGAGTGCCGGTATTACTTTATCATATACTATTCAGCCACCAGAGCACCAGGTATTTAATTTTGTTTATAGTTGGAGTGCAGAGGTTTTTTGGATTTTTATATATATATATATGTATACATATAAATAAATATACACATATATATAGACACATATATAAAAATAATACATGGAACCTCGTTACTCGAACAATTCGGTAGTCAAAACATTTGAGAAGAAAATGTATCGGTACACAAACTATTCTCGGTACCTGAACAAATCATGCCAAATAGACACATTTTAAATGCCAGAAGAACAGTTACCTATCCCTATCCAACCAATAATATTTCTTATCCTTTTCACTTACGCCATCAACTCTCATTATTACAGGTAAAGTGAAGTTACATTTTCTTTAAATTTACTGTACATTGTGTTTATTATTTTTTTACTATGTGATTGTATGAATGTAAGGCATTATTAAACTTAAAATGCTGTAATGTTGGGGTTCTAGAACGGATTAATCAAATTTACATTAACTCGTATGGGAAATTTTGATTCGGTTCTCCAACAAATCGGAACTCGAACAGCCTTCTGGAACGGATTAAGTTCGAGTTTGGAGGTTTCACGGTATATATATATATATATATATCACTGAACACAAATATGTATATTTTTTTGCTTTAAAACAGTATTATGACATTCAAAATTAAAATGCCAAGCAGAACTTGGAAAATAACAATATTACTTATGTTCTCAAACTTTTTTAGTTTTTGTTCATATTAAATTATGTTTAATATACAAATATTTGAAATTAATGCCATGTTTATCCTTAACAAAATGATATATTATTATTATTATTCCGTAGCGCTTTATAATAAGTGTGGGTGCATTTAATATGAAAGAGGTTTATTACAGTTAAATAGACATATAGCTTAAGTTCCAGAGTTTGCCTTTTTTTTTATCAGAACGTGTAGAATTGCTTCCGTCCTTAGGGGGATAAATTGACGATTTACATATTTCTAAATTGAATAATTACAAACAACAACTTATGGAAGCAAGATATCTATATTAGATATTATTAAGGCTTTACTCATATACTATATAAGGATAAATTGTCATAAATCCGTGTCCACCTTCTCATAAGAGCAATATATAATAAAAATGCAGACATCATTTTACTAAATGCAAACCAATACATAAAGTGCTTGAAACATAATTAGAATGGGAGACAAATACTAAGACACGTTATTATAAAAGTACATAATTGCTAAAATAACCGTCATATACACCATAAAGTGCCCTTGAAAAGCAGTGCAGTTCTACTATTGTTATTAGATTGTTTTGTTTGCCTGGTTTTTAAAGCCTTCTATTTGGAATATGTTTTTTTGTTTGTTTGTGTTGTCACCTCCATTAGGTGGAGCAGCTACCAATTATACTTGAGAGATTAATTTTATTCCATATTAAAAATGTCAGACTTTCTATAAAATGCAGCTATGCTGGTAAGAATTCAACACATATGTGTGGTGCACTACTCATTGTGTGCAATCTCAGTTATTGCTGTTTGGAATTATTTGCATACTTTAATGGAGTTTGGAGTTTGAAGCCTACTGCACTTCCTAGAAATTTTGGGGCCCCTGACAAAGCACAAGGTCTGCCCCGCTCCACCCCCACTGCCCCTCCCCCTTCCCCCAGCACACCGCCGCTCCACCCCCACTGAAGAGTGTGTCTTAGTGTAGTGAATGCAGAGTGTGTGTTAGTGTAGTGAATGCAGAGTGTGTGTTAGTGTAGTGAATACTGAGTGTGTGTCAGTGTACTGAATGCAGAGTGTGTGTGTTAGTGTAATGAATGCAGAGTGTGTGTTAGTGAATACAGAGTGTGTTGTTATGGGCAAATGCAAATATTACAAATTTTAGAATGAAATGTTGTATTTCTTAAACTGTGTACTTTGTCTTTAAGAGATATTGCAAACTGACAAGGTGTAAGAAATGGAACATATTGTTTCTCATAGATGTTTCTTTAAGCAATAACCTCAGTGCATAATATGTTTGCGCCATTTTGTCCCAGACGAATTACAATAACAATAATGCATAAACAAGCTTCAAGGCTATACTACGACACTTGCAGTACACAATATACTGTGGTAACCCCAAGTTAATGGAACTTCCCCAAATCCGGGAATCTCCCGCGACTGTACACTTACGACTTAGTATAAACAACAGATAACATATTCAGACTTTAAGATGCCATCTTGAACTAAGTCAGGAAAATTTCCATGACGTATGCACCCTTTAGTTATGGCCTTGTATGTTTGCCAAGTTAAGGGAGGTCCTAAATTGAATAAAGTAAAAGAAGTGTTACTTTTTCATATTTGAACTACAGTAACCTAAAATGGAGACACCTAAGGTATAAATAGGTGTACTTTTAAATGTTAAGACACAGAGGAGAGACTTGGAGACAGACGCTGCTCCATCTTAAAATGACAGAGAGGCTGACATGATGACATGTTCAGAAGGGTATGTTAACCTATTAATGATATTTGCAAGCATGTAATTTAAATCTTATAAACTCTGCTATAATGGATTTTATATTTTTATATAATAAATATCCAAAAGACAATCTTGCTTCCAAGACAATCCTTATTTTATATTGTATTCTCAATTATTTATATATGTTAAATAGAGGATCTCTTACACTAAATAAAATTATGGCTAAGATATCTGTATGGTTAGCCCTACTAAGTTCTATGCTTTAAGACATTATAGTGGTAAATAAGGGAACCACCAGCGGTTACAATTGGCGACCACGAAGGGACTTTGTACTTGGAAGCTTTAAATATAAAATAAATACCTAGGTAACCTCTTATACGTAAGAGAAGACACAATACTTTGTCATGGCACAAGTCTTGAAATATCAAGAATCTATTGAGCTACTTGTAGCCCAGACTCAGAGAGATCATCATTAGAGATGATTTTAATGTGAACAAGGCACTGTGAGTTCAGGTGCAAGGTACAATGTAATTAGCATACAATGCTGAAATTGTGGATCTTAACTAATATCATAATAGAACAAATATACATATTTGGTAAACTCTCTGATATGCCTAATACACCAGCACAGCCCGTTAGTTCCAGGACAGTGGATTTCAGACAGGGGGATATGTTCTCTTTGTAGCTGCTTAGTATGCATGCGCAGGAAAAAGATTAATGCAAAATGTTGTCAAAAGAAAAGTCATAAGACAGAGCGATGAAATAGGAAGTCTAATTCCAAGAATGCAAAGAAAATTGCATTATGGCTTAATGAAAACATTCATGCAACAGACAGACAGGATTTTTAATTATTGCATTACTGCGTTCTGGATTCTAATGTCCACTATATAAGAAAGGTTTTAGAAAACAGTGATATTTTCCATATTGTCAGTTAGGCTAGCTGTTGATTGAAAATCAGGAATTATAACAGCATAACAATTTTTGGAGTCTGGAATTTCCAGCCAAGGTTGCAGAGATACAGAGACATGTAAACATTCCAAGGAATTGAGAAGTCGTTGTTTTATATTCCAAATTATGAACAACATTATTACATACAGCCATAAAGAAAAATACATGGCTATTAAATACATTGAGTGCAGTACAATGCAGTATACTGCAGCATATATGTTATATAATATAAGATAACTAGCTTATATTTTTTCCTAAACAGAGTTGAAATTATACTACCCTTCTAGAAAAAAGGGCAACAGGTGGTTATACATCCTTTGCTTCTCTAAATCCTCTGCAAAAATCACTATTTATAAAATAATTAAAAATAATATATATGTAAGATAAATCAGGGCAAAATAAAATGGTAACTAGACAGGATCTCTGATAACTTTTAAACAGAAATTATTAAAGGCTTATTTAAATAAAATGTTAAATACATTTACAGCTTTAACTGTGACCAAAAGATACTAAATGATGTGTGAATTAGCCAGCCCAATTCACTAGAATAGCATAAGTATTCTACTATTTAAAGTGCACAATTCCTGCACATAATGACTTTGCTTACTCAGGTACAGTCTTTAGTCTATTGCAATGGCAGGATTAAAGTCCACCAATTTTAAAAGGGAAAGCTTACTTAAATCAGTGGTACTATCCCACCGTACTAGCAGTAAGGAAATTAGAACAATGATATTGTACTACTGACTGTAATCGGTCAGACACATGTAATCTCAGTGAATTTCATAAACTAGGTTTTCATAAGATAAGATTAAATATCAAAGTTGTTTATATATCAATATATCAATGTTGTTTATAAATAAAAGTATATAGACTAGGCAATAACAGCATTTACATGCATTCAGCAGCCTGCTCTCTCAAAGCCAGAAACGGATTTATAAAAAAACTAAAAAGTAGGTTTTAAAAAGTCCACAGGCAACCACACATGATGAGTGAAATAACTGCTTCTTTAAAAGCTATATGCTGCCGCAATTATGTATATAAATACTGATCAGGGCACAGCGTAAAAATAAAAATACAGTTTCAAATCTCATATATGAGGATTCAGTTCCACCACATATTCTACAATTCTGAAAGAGGCTAATTTTAATAATATGTTGTAAGAGCACTGTGAATATATATAATGCAAAATTAATTTGATATTGCAAAGCCTGCAATATTCTAAACAGACATTAAAAATTAAGAAAAAAGAAGAATGCATAAAGAATAATGCATAAAAAAATGTAGTGTCAATTAAAGTGATAATACTCTGATATATTAAATCACATTGCATATCACATATCTGCTATATGAAAAGTATAATTAAAGTGACATTACTGTCCAAAGCCCCCTCACATCTATTTTATAGAATCTATACTTTTCAGTGGTCACCTCCAAAGAAGCCTCTGAAATTGGGGGGCTCAGAGGGGTGCTCATCCCAAAAGAAATCAGATTCCAGACTTAAATTTTTTTTTGAAAAATAAATAAATGATAGAAAAGGAATCACGGGAACACCCAGAACATGCATTTTTGTATATAATCTTAATTTGCAGCTATTTTATGCCTTAAAGACATATAAAGGATATTTAATTAAATATGCAGGTATCTTTAAAAAATAAGCAAAGTTAAAAAATAAATAAATAAAATAAATAATAATAAAAAAAAAAAATTTACACCACAATATAAACAGCTTTGTTAAACAGATTTAAGTACAAGTACTTATGTCAAGAAATATACAGAATACGTTTACAACAGGCAGGTTTAGCATAAATGCAAAGTTGTTGTTTATTAGGGGATTTATTATTGCCCAAGAAATCTCTGAACATATTCAGAATTTTTAAGAGCAGCAAGTAAGACAGCAGATTGCAATGGACACCATTACAATATTGCTTTGCTGATTGAGGTCAGAGATTTAAAGAATAAATAAATAAGTGTTCTATAGCTCGCTAGATCACTGGCTTTTAATGAACAGTTGGCACAACACTTATGAATAGTTTGTAATACTGCACATTATAGCTGTGACAACATGATATACAGTGTAAAAATGCTATTTCACTGTTTAATAGACTTACCCAGTATTTAAGGACGAAATGTTTCTTGCAAAGTAATCGGGACTTTGAGGGAGGTCCTAACTACGTTTAATTAATTAATTAATTTACTAAAGAAAAAGAAAAAAAGTTTATTTTTCCCCTGCAAGTGAGTTTTCAGCGCAAGGTCATCTTGTGTTCACAGACTATTCGGTTTTAAAAAGCTGTTCTTTATCTCACATTATGAACGGCCTTGTAATTCCTATGCACACTAAAAGTTGGCTTTTAAATGTTATTGTTTTAACTTTAATATTTCATAGTTAATACAGAGAATAAAGTAATTTAAATAAAGTATATTGAAAGTATATTAATTGATAGGATTTCATTTATCTATTTTGGTCCACTGTTCACTGATCTCGAATCTCAGTCTGGTATTCAAACAGTTTTTCTTACAATACGTCGTGAGTTTATATCCACAACTGCATTTTGCTTTGTGGTAACAAATTGAAAGCCTGGCATTGTAATATGTGAATGGACATGCTTATAACAAAGCATGGGCCCTCTCCTCATGTAGTTGGTCATTAACAGGCACTTTGATGCAATGTGTCTACCAACGCTTTTCTGTGGTCATTGGATCACATCGCATACCCTATCTCTCTGTCATGATGCAGAGTTTATGCTTGCAAGGATATCCAGACCTTATCCACCTGGTATCCGCATAAATACTCCTATCGTTTAGAGGGGTTAATTACATAATAACCATTGAAGGTAATATGTTGGTTGTTCTTCCTATAGAGGAAAGATGGACTTGCCCTAAAAGCTTTTTCATGGCTAGGACAAGCTCTTATAGAGAGAGGTAATGTACTTTTGACTCCTGAAAAGGAATATTGGTGGTCACAATATGGGAAATACTGTAATTCATGTGTTTAGTAATCATAAGCATTTGCTTATTGCCACATTACTGATGTACTGTTTATTGAAATATTAATATCCAACATACTTTTGAATTACTATATATTGAAAGTTTGCCAACATCTCATGGTTATAAATATGTTTTTGTATGTGTTGATGCATGTACCAGGTTTACTTGGATATATCCTGTGCGAAGTGCAACCTCTGATGCCACGTTTTCTAGTCTCACTTCCTTAGTATGCATTTGATAATCCCAGGACCATCCATTTGGATGGTGGTCCTGCAGTTACTGCAAAGGAAACCTAAAACTGGGCAACCACATTTGGGTTACTTTGGGATTTCAGTGCCCCAACCACCCCCAAAGATGTGGGGTTGTGGTCTGGGAGAATGCTGAGGTTAAATGATTATTAACCAATTTACTAGTTGCTTGCCCCACACAGTGGTATCTATTTATTCCTATGGTACAGATGAGCATTCACAACATACCTGTTGATACAAATGGTGAGACACCATATGAAATGTTACACATTTTTCACTGACAATTATATTTCTGCACCAGGGAGAGTTTAGAACCATTGGTTCTATTAGAGAAATTTAGGGAATTTTTTTCCAGCCCACCTCGCCTTGCACCACCACCTATTTCCTTCTGTTGGCCAGTTTGTCCTGGAGAGGGTGATACAGAGAACTTTTACTACAGAGAACAATCAGACCCAACAGAGAACAGTAAGTTTTGATATTTTACAACCTGCTAAATACTAACAGGACGTTCACAGAACCACTGACTGACACAATGGATGCTGTTAAAGATGACAAGATAAGATAAACAGAGGACGACAGAAATGCCACCAGAATCATAGCCACATAACAGACTGAATTGTGATCTGACATCTGAACCTGCAAATGTGAAGGAGAAGGATGAACAGACAGACGTGATACATTCACAGTTAATATGGAATGTACGAAAAATGAATCATCAACATCATTATCAGAAAGACTCTGGAGAAAACAGACTGTACCTGAATTATCTTATACAGTAAGAAAGAAATGCAAAGATGGAAGCAAAAGGATGCTAGAAAATTGGTGTCTCCTTCTTACAATCTGCAGCATTATCATAATATCAACCCTAGCTGTTGTTTTAAAACTGCATTGGAATTATGTTAACAAGCAGGAAGCACCTGAACTGAATTGGACTGTACACTATACAAGTTCTATGATCGTGAGGACTACCTCCAAGAACCATCCCAAAAGGAGAGACACAGCTCACAGTGAAATGATTGCTAATGTGACCTACACTGGTATTTCACAAGGAACCTATTGAGATCATTCCAAAAAACGATTATACATGAGAAAGATGTGATTGGACTATTACAAATCCTAATAATGGAATCAACGATGATGGCAAAGCATGCTGAAAACAGAAAAAGAAGGGAAAGATGCTTATGAAAGACTTTGGATGCACCTATGAAGGTGATGCAAGAAAAGACTTTGCCATATAGTTTGTCATTGAGTGACTACCGCAAACAGCCTTCTTATGCTGAAAAGAAGTGCTATGCTAATTCTGGACATTGCTATTATCCAGACAGAAGATGACCGGAAAAAGAAATAAAGGCTGATAACTGTTAACACCCAGCTGTTTCTCAAGATGGAAAATGGTACTGACAAAACCTGATTGACTATCAAAGCATCTCACAGTACAAGACACAGATTGTTGCCTACAACTCAGAAAAAGTGGTTAATAGGAAGGATCAGAAGAAGAGGAATATAGATTTCCTACTGGAGAGAAAAACCATCCTGGAACAATATTCTGTAACAATGAACTTTACAATGACATTTGGTGGCATATGAATTTGAATTTGGAAGAAACACATCAATTAACGAAAGAAACCTTGATGCAATTAATAAATAATAACAATACCGGCCTACTAAGAGCAGATGCCCTGCCAAGAGAATGGAATATAAAAAGACCAGCAAAATCTTTCAGAAACCTGACATCACGGGACACTTGTACTAAAGCACGATTTGCAGCTTTTCTTAAACTCTACATATTATGTACATACCTGCAAAGCAAGGAATTCCTGTAAACATAAACACAGAGACATTGATACAACAAGAAATCTGTAATGGTTCTGTTGCAGATGTGATCTACCGTCGTACTCCTTGCTCTTTTGGTATAACTATACCCATCAAAACGTTAAATGGCTCCATAGAATGAAACGACAAAGGATTCTTGCTATATTCTGGACTTCCAGGAATGTGGTGCATGGACCGAAAAAGTATAATTACTAAAGCAATCATGCTATTTTTTTCCCTGTATCAGAAATGTGTCAGTGACAATGTGTAATATAATACAGATACTATAATTAATGGTATAAGAAACACATAATGTGTTAATTACAAAGGTGGATAGACTTTGTGAATATCTGAAACGCAATTGAAGATTATTGCTAAAATGCCATATGCAGCTGCAGTCTGGCCTACAAACAAATATATTAAACATACGTATAAGAGCATAACAGCTAATTACCAAGATGAATAATTGAATCATGATAGTTAAAGATCATATGATTGCAATAACAACTGCAATAATGAATAAGGTTTAAACTTTAGAAGAAAATATAAAATGTTTTTATTAAAACAGAAACTACTCAATATTCGTTTAAGTTTGCAGAGTGGTATAATCAATTAATATAAGTGAAATACTTCAACAGTTAAAATTTAACTGACAGACAGGCAGAAACTTTTTCAACTATCATAAAGTTTATTTATAATGATAAAAATATTCAGTCTGCCAGAGCTAAGGCCAGTCAATGGAAAGTAAGAGAGTATTATGGATTAACCCGTCCAGGTGATACACATGATTATTTTGGAAATTGATAAGTTAGGTCACCTATTGCAAATTGGTGAAAAGATATCAAAGATATAAATTCAACATCCATACCACTCTATGTGTATATATATATATATATATATATATATGTTAAAATACACGTAATCAAATATTTTATCAGTTTTTCAAATACAAAGAAAATGTTATTTGGTTTGTGATGGTTAAAGGTACATAAAACCACCTATACAAAGGTAGTGTTAAAATATAAACACCTTCAATATTGTATCGGAGTGCTTTCTTAACTCACTTTTAGAAATAATAATACATTCTAACCATCTTAAGCTACACCCAACAGCCGCTGGTAAATATACTTAAACAATTAAGATTCACATTGTTAAGCATCCAATCTCACGAATGTAACTTTCCACAATGGCTGTCAGATCTTGGTTAAAATAAATAAAAAAAAATGTTTTCTAAGACAATATTTGGGGGTTTCTGGTATTTTAAGCCACTAATAACTGTAGTTATTATATTTACTAATTATAACTTAGGGAATAAGTTGTCTTCTCCCTAACAGGACAAAGAAAGATGAATAATGTCATATTTCCAATTAGCAACTATTTTAAATATAGAGAGATTTTGAATAAAGGAGTATTTTTAACATTTAAAGAGAATGTAATTTTACATACCATTGTGAACAAGGGCAGTAAATACTTTGCTGCTTCAAATTATCCTTATATATCTAAATCATATACAAGGGTGTTTATCTCTAATACAAAACACTAGAAAGATTAACTATGTTACTATTTCATCTATCATTATTATACAAAGTATAACAAATGTAAAGATTTTTCCACAGATTTTACCTGTTAACATTTTTAGCACAACAGCACCTGATGTCAGTGAGATGTCTATCACTGAGATGTTACAAAGATTCAAACACCGCAAAAAGAGGCGTTCTTGGGAATCCACTTCAATTGCTGTATCAACATAACATTTACTATAATGGGATCCATGTCACTTAAGACAATGTCTTGGAAATTATGTCAATTAATTTATTCCGTAAAAGAATATCGGAGAGTATCCAATCTATACACATCATAAACAGTGTAAAAATGTTTCATGGAAAAAACAAACAAAATAAAAAGCAAAGACAAAAGACAAAGTCAAATACCAACACCATCACCACGGTGATAACAGATTATGCGGATTCAATATCTGCGACCAATTCTAGCCAAATACTTGGAAAGCTGGACTCTACAACCAATACTAAACAACAAATACCCGGGTATTCTACAAACACAATTTCCAGCAATGTATCTAAAAAATGTAAACTTCTACAGGCATTTAAAGACTTTGGATTACAAATACAATTACTACTTTTAACTTTGGATTACAATTCATATCTGGATCTATCCAAGAATATATTACTCTGGAACTTGGTGTTCTTTTCAATTCTTTCCCAGACAAATGTTTTGCTCATTTTACAGGCAAAGATCATACTACGGATATTTTACTGTTACAACAATGATCAAAGATGCTGGGAGCACAAAAAAAACAAAAGACTGTTGGAGAACTTTGGTTCACTAATTTAAGGAAGAAATACGCTACAATGCCCACAGTTTAATGGAGAGGGTGTTATGGGCAAATTCAAATATTACAAGTTTTAGAATGAAATGTTGTATTTCTTAAACTGTGTACTTTGTCTTTAAGAGATATTGCAAACTGACAAGGTGTAAGAAATGGAACATATTGTTTCTCATAGATGTTTCTTTAAGCAATAACCTCAGTGCATAATATGTTTGCGCCATTTTGTCCCAGACGAATTACAATAACAATAATGCATAAACAAGCTTCAAGGCTATACTACGACACTTGCAGTACACAATATACTGTGGTAACCCCAAGTTAATGGAACTTCCCCAAATCCGGGAATCTCCCGCGACTGTACACTTACGACTTAGTATAAACAACAGATAACATATTCAGACTTTAAGATGCCATCTTGAACTAAGTCAGGAAAATTTCCATGACGTATGCACCCTTTAGTTATGGCCTTGTATGTTTGCCAAGTTAAGGGAGGTCCTAAATTGAATAAAGTAAAAGAAGTGTTACTTTTTCATATTTGAACTACAGTAACCTAAAATGGAGACACCTAAGGTATAAATAGGTGTACTTTTAAATGTTAAGACACAGAGGAGAGACTTGGAGACAGACGCTGCTCCATCTTAAAATGACAGAGAGGCTGACATGATGACATGTTCAGAAGGGTATGTTAACCTATTAATGATATTTGCAAGCATGTAATTTAAATCTTATAAACTCTGCTATAATGGATTTTATATTTTTATATAATAAATATCCAAAAGACAATCTTGCTTCCAAGACAATCCTTATTTTATATTGTATTCTCAATTATTTATATATGTTAAATAGAGGATCTCTTACACTATATAAAATTATGGCTAAGATATCTGTATGGTTAGCCCTACTAAGTTCTATGCTTTAAGACATTATAGTGGTAAATAAGGGAACCACCAGCGGTTACAGTGTGTCAGTGTAGTGAATACAGAGTGTGTGTTAGTGTAATGAATGCAGAGTGTGTGTGTCAGTGTAGTGAATACAGAGTGTGTGTTAGTGTAATGAATGCAGAGTGTGTGTTAGTGTAGTGGATACAGAGTGTGTGTCAGTGTAGTGGATACAGAGTGTGTGTCAGTGTAGCGAATGCAGAGTGTGTGTCAGTGTAATGAATGCAGAGTGTGTGTTAGTTGGTCTAGATTAATATTCTTGTTCTTGGGTAGACTACTGGCTTAAAAATATAGTACAACGAGTTGTCACTCATGGTAAATTTGCAAGCTGGACAAAAGTGGTAAGTGTTGCCCCTCAGGGATCTGTTTTGGGACTGCTTCTATTTCTCATTTTTATAAACGATCTTACAATAGGCATTGAAAGCCATTTTTTTTAGAGTTTGAGAAAACTTTGTAAAGTAATAAAATGTGAGTAGGACATTGCTTTGCTGTAGAGGGATTTAGATAGACTGGGAGACTAGGCACTAAAATGGCAGATGAAATTTAATGTAGAGAAATGCAAAGTTATGCACTTCGGGAATCAAGAATGCACAAGCAATTTACACCCTAAATGGTAGTGAATTAGGAATAACCACGAGAAGGATTAGGGAATTGTTATAGACAACAAATTAGGCAGCAATATGCAATGTCAATCTGCAGTTGCTAAGGCCAATAAGGTTTTGTCATGTATAAATAGGGGTATATATTCTCGGGATGAAAATATAATTTTGCCTCTTTATAAATCGCTGGTAAGACCACACCTTGATTATGCTGTGCAATTTTGGGCACCTGTTCTAAAGAGGGATATCATGGCACTAGAAAAAGTGCAGAGATGAGTGGATATGATAACATTACACAAATATATACGGGGCCTGTACAAACCATTATCTGGAAATCTGGAAATCTATATATAAACAGGGCTATACATAGGACACGAGGTCATACATTTAGGCAGGAAGAAAGGAGATTTACTCTAAGGAAAATTAAAGTTTTTTTTACAGTAAGAACTATAAGGATATGGAATTCTCTGCCTGAAGAGGTTTTTTTCTTTAGAGTTCCTACAGATGTTTAAGCAGCAATTGGATAAATATTTCCAAAAACATAAAATACAGGGAGTGCAGAATTATTAGGCAAATGAGTATTTTGACCACATCATCCTCTTTATGCATGTTGTCTTACTCCAAGCTGTATAGGCTCGAAAGCCTACTACCAATTAAGCATATTAGGTGATGTGCATCTCTGTAATGAGAAGGGGTGTGGTCTAATGACATCAACACCCTATATCAGGTGTGCATAATTATTAGGCAACTTCCTTTCCTTTGGCAAAATGGGTCAAAAGAAGGACTTGACAGGCTCAGAAAAGTCAAAAATAGTGAGATATCTTGCAGAGGGATGCAGCACTCTTAAAATTGCAAAGCTTCTGAAGCGTGATCATCGAACAATCAAGCGTTTCATTCAAAATAGTCAACAGGGTCGCAAGAAGCGTGTGGAAAAACCAAGGCGCAAAATAACTGCCCATGAACTGAGAAAAGTCAAGCGTGCAGCTGCCACGATGCCACTTGCCACCAGTTTGGCCATATTTCAGAGCTGCAACATCACTGGAGTGCCCAAAAGCACAAGGTGTGCAATACTCAGAGACATGGCCAAGGTAAGAAAGGCTGAAAGACGACCACCACTGAACAAGACACACAAGCTGAAACGTCAAGACTGGGCCAAGAAATATCTCAAGACTGATTTTTCTAAGGTTTTATGGACTGATGAAATGAGAGTGAGTCTTGATGGGCCAGATGGATGGGCCCGTGGCTGGATTGGTAAAGGGCAGAGAGCTCCAGTCCGACTCAGACGCCAGCAAGGTGGAGGTGGAGTACTGGTTTGGGCTGGTATCATCAAAGATGAGCTTGTGGGGCCTTTTCGGGTTGAGGATGAGTCAAGCTCAACTCCCAGTCCTACTGCCAGTTCCTGGAAGACACCTTCTTCAAGCAGTGGTACAGGAAGAAGTCTGCATCCTTCAAGAAAAACATGATTTTCATGCAGGACAATGCTCCATCACACGCGTCCAAGTACTCCACAGCGTGGCTGGCAAGAAAGGGTATAAAAGAAGAAAATCTAATGACATGGCCTCCTTGTTCACCTGATCTGAACCCCATTGAGAACCTGTGGTCCATCATCAAATGTGAGATTTACAAGGAGGGAAAACAGTACACCTCTCTGAACAGTGTCTGGGAGGCTGTGGTTGCTGCTGCACACAATGTTGATGGTGAACAGATCAAAACACTGACAGAATCCATGGATGGCAGGCTTTTGAGTGTCCTTGCAAAGAAAGGTGGCTATATTGGTCACTGATTTGTTTTTGTTTTGTTTTTGAATGTCAGAAATGTATATTTGTGAATGTTGAGATGTTATATTGGTTTCACTGGTAATAATAAATAATTGAAATGGGTATATATTTGTTTTTTGTTAAGTTGCCTAATAATTATGCACAGTAATAGTCACCTGCACACACAGATATCCCCCTAACATAGCTATAACTAAAAACAAACTAAAAACTACTTCCAAAAAATATTCAGCTTTGATATTAAAGGATTATTTATAGTGCCAGGAAAACATACTGTTTTCCCGGCACTATAGTGCCCTGAGGGTGCCCCCACCCTCAGGGGAGTCTCCCGCCCGCCTGTGAAAGGGGTAATAACTTACCTTTTTCCAGCGCTTCGGGCGGAGAGCTCTCCTCCGGACATCCTCCTCCGATTCTACCTTCACCGGGTTGAATGCGACGCGCCGCAAGAGCGCGCCAAGATTCAGTCGGGGAAACCATAGGAAAGCATTTTACAATGCTTTCCTATGGACGCCGGCGCTCTCACTGTGATTTTCACAGTGAGAAGCACGCAAGCGCCTCTAGTGGCTGTCAATGAGACAGCCACTCGAGGATTAGGGGGAAGGCTTAACCCATTCATAATTATAGCAGTTTCTCTGAAACTGCTATAATTATGAAAAAATGGGTTAACCCTAGAAGGACCTGGCACCTAGACCACTTCATTAAGCTGAAGTGGTCTGGGTGCCTAGAGTGGTCCTTTAATGAGTTTTTTGGGTTCATTGAGAACATGGTTGTTGTTCAATAATAAAATTAATCCTCAAAAATACAACTTGCCTAATAATTCTGCTCTCCCTGTACAGGGGTATCATTTCTAATTAGTGGGGTAATAGCTGCTTGATCCAATGAGATATCTGACTGCTATTTTGGAATCAAGAAGGAATCTTTTCCTAGTTTGTTGCAAAATTAGAAGAGCTTTAGACTGTTTTTTTCTTTTTTTTTTTTGCCTTCTTTTGTATCAACAGCAAATCCATATGTGAGGAAGGCTGAACTTGATGGACACAAGTCTCTTTTCAGCTATGTAACTATGTAACATAGGGTAACAAAAATATGTATTCTGCCTCAATTGTATATTCAGCAGCACTCTGTTTTTAATGGATTTAGCTGACTGTCTGAAAGGGAGATTTTTTTTGTCTACATATTTCTCTGGATACCATGCATATCCAGAGAAATATGCATTTCCAGATTTATTATCCATATCACGTTGGGTTTTTCACACCCCTATATGATTTAAAAGATCTTTTGTATATTTTGCCATATTAGATAACTTAATGTCCAGTGTTATAGTGTTAGATGTTTTAATACATCTTTTATCCCTTGACATCTGCCCTGCTTTTCATTATTTTGAACCATCTATGCTTTTATTTGCTCAATTCTTTGTAGTTTTCGTAACATCTGTTTATAGTGTCCCTTGATTTCATTGTTATTGCCTTTTATGATAGTTCTAATATTATTTATATATTTTAGTATACATTTTTTATGCTAAAATATTAGGATAACAAACTCAGACTTTGTTTCCACCCTTGTTACTAAATATCTGGTGAAAGCTGTTATTACAACAGCCGTTTTGTATCAGAGGCATCTGCCGAAATGTTTCCAAACTTGTAGCTATTTTTTTTTACTACTGCTTGTGTCTACTGCAACTGTTTTGCAATTGTGAACATTTGAAAAGATAGTGTATGGAATAGTAGTACAAATTACTAGAACAAACTTAACTATTTCAGTGCCCCGGTGGGGGAATGCACAGGTATATGATATGTCCGTGTATATTTATATATATTTTATTACTATTACTAGCGAAAGCTCTACTAAAACAAAGCAATGCTTAAAAAAACATTTAGACCATTATACAGTTTGCTTGCCCCATACGAAAGCCATCCAGATGTGTCAAATTACCACTTTACCCTACATATAATAAATGGTGCCCTATTAATATTTTAAACCATTATTTGTCTTCTATTCATTCTCCCCCTAACCAACCATTGTTTTTGCTTCACAGCTCTATTCTTACTAGAATCCCTTTAGCATCAGGATGAAGGGTAATAAAATAGAGCCAAGGAGATGCCATATAAAAATAGGCATTTTGTTTTTAAACGTCTCAAGGGTCAATATACAGGTGATACTCGAAAAATTAGAATATTGTGCAAAAGTTCATTTATTTCAATAGTGCACAGTAAAAGGGGAAACTAATATATGAGATAGACCCATTACATGCAAAGCAAGATAGTTCAAGCTGTGATTTGTCATAAGTGCAATGATTATGGCTTACAGCTCATGAAAACCCCAAATCCACAATCTCAGTAAATTAGAATATTGTGAAAAGGTGCAATATTCTAGGCTCAGTGTCCCACTCTAATCAGCTAAGTAAGCCATTGCACCTGCAAAGGCATGATAGTCTGTAACACTAGAACAAGGGAAACTTAGAGTCAGGGACAAGCTGGGTCTGGTACGCTGTAACACTAGAACAAGGGAAACTCAGAGTCAGGGACAAGCTGGGTCTCGTAAGCTGTAACACTAGAACAAGGGAAACTTAGAGTCAGGGACAAGCTGGGTTTGGTACGCTGTAACACTAGAACAAGGGGAAATCTGATTCAGGAACAAGCTGGGTCTGGTATGCTGTAATACTAGAACAAAGGAAACTCAGTCAGGAACAAGCTGGGTCTGGTACACTGTGATATTAGAACAAGGGAAAATCTGATTAAGGGTCAAGCTGGGTCAAGTACGCTGTAACGCTAGAACAAGGAAACCTCAAAGTCAGGAACAAGCTGGGTCTGGTAAGCTGTAATACTAGAACAAGGGAAAATCAAAGTCAGGGAGAAGCTGGGTCAAGTATGCTGTAACACTAGAACAAGGGAAAATCTGATTCAGGGACAAGCTGGGTCAAGTACGCTGTAACGCTAGAACAAGGGAAATACAGAGTCAGGAACAAGCTGGGCCTGAAACTCTGTAACACTAGAACAAGGGAAAATCTGATTCAGGGACAAGCTGGGTCTGGTACGCTGTAATACTAGAACAAGGGAAAATCAAAGTCAGGGAGAAGCTGGGTCTGGTGCGCTAACACTAAAACAAGGAAAAATCAGAGTCAGGGACAAGCTGGGTCAAGTATGCTGTAACACTAGAACAAGGGAAAATCTGATTCAGGGACAAGCTGGGTTTGGTACGCTGTAACACTAGAACAAGGGGAAATCTGATTCAGGAACAAGCTGGGTCTGGTATGCTGTAATACTAGAACAAAGGAAACTCAGTCAGGAACAAGCTGGGTCTGGTACACTGTGATATTAGAACAAAGGAAAATCTGATTAAGGGTCAAGCTGGGTCAAGTACGCTGTAACGCTAGAACAAGGAAACCTCAAAGTCAGGAACAAGCTGGGTCTGGTATGCTGTAATACTAGAACAAGGAAACCTCAAAGTCAGGGAGAAGCTGGGTCTGTTACGCTGTAACACTAAAACAAGGAAAAATCAGAGTCAAGGACAAGCTGGGTCAAGTATGCTGTAACACTAGAACAAGGGAAAATCTGATTCAGGGACAAGCTGGGTCAAGTACGCTGAAACACTAGAACAAGGGAAACACAGAGTCAGGAACAAGCTGGGCCTGAAACTCTGTAACACTAGAACAAGGGAAAATCTGATTCAGGGACAAGCTGGGTCTGGTACGCTGTAATACTAGAACAAGGGAAAATCAAAGTCAGGGAGAAGCTGGGTCTGGTGCGCTAACACTAAAACAAGGAAAAATCAGAGTCAGGGACAAGCTGGGTCAAGTATGCTGTAACACTAGAACAAGGGAAAATCTGATTCAGGGACAAGCTGGGTTTGGTATGCTGTAACACTAGAACAAGGGAAAATCTGATTCAGGGACAAGCTGGGTCAAGTACGCTGTAACACTAGAACAAGGGAAAATTTGATTGAGGGCCACGCTGGGTCTGGTACGCTGTAACACTAGAACAAGGGAAACACAGAGTCAGGAACAAGCTGGGACTGAAACTCTGTAACACTAGAACAAAGGAAAATCTGATTCAGGGACAAGCTGGGTCAAGTACGCTGTAACACTAGAACAAGGGAAAATCTGATTCAGTGACAAGCTGGGTTTGGTACGCTGTAACACTAGAACAAGGGAAAATCTGATTGAGGGCCACGCTGGGTCTGGTACGCTGTAACACTAGAACAAGGGAAAATCTGAGTCAGGGACAAGCTGAGTTTGGTACGCTGTAATACTAAAACAAAGGAAAATCTGAGTCAGGGACTAGCTGGGTATGGTACGCTGTAACACTAGAACTATGGGCAAGGCAGAGTCAGAGATAGAAACATGCTAGTTCTGGCACACAGGAACACTGAAATAGCAATCAGGGTCAGAATAATGTGCTTAATGGCCTATATATTTTAGTAACAAAGGTGCAGCATTTGGATGAAACAGTTTGGCCTGAATTTAACCCATATTAATCAATTTTAGTGGCCAGTCTGCAGAGAGCAAGATGTTGGTGAGTCATTGTTTGTAAGTGCCCTTGTATTATGAAGCACATATCTGGAATGTTGAATAACTCCTGGTTTTGACACGTGCATCCGTAAACAAATAGGAACCTTAGGACCATGGCTCCTGGCAGCACTCTGACAGTGTTATTATATAATAGCCAGAAACACTAGGCCCGATAATGCTTCTGATAGTGCTGCAACTGGTCCCAAGGCAGATGTCATGCCTCTTTCTCCATCACTCTGTCACGGGGATACTATCAATGACAACTGTTTACCTTTTCTATCAGGAGAGAATTGATATATAGAAAACAGGAAAATGCACAATATGCTTATCACAATGACAAGGGCATATGTGACTCGCTGTGCTACCTGGAAATATAAAGTAGTCTAATGGTGATTAAATGTTAACTATATACACATGAATTCCTATAATGAAAACATCAAACTAATCTCCATACGATAAGGACTAGAGAGTGAAAATAATAAAAAAAATAAAAACCTAAATAGTGTACAGGTATTATGGAAATATTTACAGTGTGGGATGTCTATCTAGAGCTTTATTAGATCTGGCTCTATATGCATCCACAGCAAAATCTGTATAATATCCAGTACACTAAACAGAATATATATATATATATATTAATATAATGCTCCTTGTAAGTATTGTGATCCTTGTCAGCAGGTAGCACGGTCCTCTAGGGCAAAAACATGCACAGTCCTTGTAATTGCATATACTCCAGGCACTTTATTTGAAAATCCACACAGGATACAGCAGTAAATGAAAAACATAACTGTAACAGAAAACCCTATAAACAAAAAACCTAGCTCGTCTGAGCACTAACTCACTTTGTATATCCCTCTCTATCAGGGTTAAACTAACAAAACATATGGCACCAACCTTATTAGTTAGCAACACTCTGTTGGCTAGCCTGTTGCTTTCCTTTCCGCACTCCTAGTGCTCCAAGCCAGCCTTGCCCTGACTGCTTTCCTTTCTGCACTCCCAGTGCTCCAAGCCAGCATTGACTGCTTCCTTTCTGCACTCCAAGTGCCTAGTCTCCTTGACTCTATCTGGAGAGAACTGATCTCTCCTACCTGCTTCCTGGGAGGAAGCCAGCAATCCCTCTCTATTACCTGTCTAGCAGGGAGGAGTTTATTCCCACTGCAACAGCTCATTAACTGCAGCTGAGCAGTGGGTTGGAGACGATCCAAAAAACCCTGGCCTGGATTCATGTCTCCCCAGAAAACCACTAAACTGTGGAGTGGAGCATTGGCCCACCCTTCTCTCCAAATGCTCCACCCCAGGGGCCCATAACTAAACAGTGTTTTGTGTTGTGCAACACACAAACTACACGTACTTCCCCTGGGGTTAAAAGGCCTATCTGCCTTCACTTTATCACATATCCTCCCCCCCAGCTCAGACCCATTGGGTCGAGCGACCTTAGAACACAAACCATGAACAATCACATCACCTAGGGCTGTACCAGCCCTGACTTGCTCCTCAGTTACAGGAAGTGGCCTATTGCAGATGGCTGCTACCTTGTTCCCTTGTAGTTTAAGGAACCCCCACCCAAGTGGATAACCCAAATAGTTAGCTGCCTCAAATCCTAGATAACACTTAGTGTTAGCGGTCAGACCGGCAGCCCTTGCATTATTCACAACTAACTGGACCCTCATCAGGTGTGCTTCCAAGTCCACCCTGTGAATCGCCACATCACCAAGGTAGGCAGCTGCATTCTCTCTGTTGGGCCAAAGTATCCTATTCATATGCAGAAAGGGGCTGGTGCACTATGCAACCTGAATGGCAGTACTTTATGTTGCCATAACCCCTTGGGAGTAGAAAACGCTGTCCTTCCCTTTGCTTTCTCTGTCAGGGGAACCTGCCAATACCTTATGACCAGGTCCAAGGTACTCAGAAACCTGGCCTTACTTATACGCTCTTGCGTTTGAGCTACATGTACTACAGGGCATCTAACTTTTACTACCTCTGTGACAAACTCTACCTCTGCCATGGGGTATGTGCGGGTGTCACCATGTGTACCCACAATATCGATCACTTGTCTTAAACCAAATTTTTCTGGCTGGAGCAGAACACTTTTCAAAGTAGCCTCACTCCCTGAATTAATTAGTGCTTGTGCACTCTTCCCTACCACCATCACCACTTTTAGCTGTGCTGTAACACCACCACCAGTCACCATACACATCTTTAAGCAAGGCAATACTATCCTATGCAGAGCCCTTATTCCTATGTCACACTGTATTGGCTCTTCACTTTCAGGACAGTTATATGTAATATGTCCATGCATGTGGCAGTTGAAGCATCTGAGTTTCTCAGTCTGGTCTCGTAGCTGTAATGGGACTTTTGGGTACGTTCTACCATTATATTTTCCCAGACTCAGTATCAGATTTTGTCCTTTCTTTCCAGTTTCCCCGCTTATTTGGTTGCTAGCAGATCTAGGCCGATGATCAGTACTGTGTGGCTCTTTAGTAGCCAAGTTCCTCTGAATCATCATCTGCTTCCACATCCACAGCAGCTTCTGGTTTGATAGTCTCTCAATGTCCGAGTTACTTTCAAACGCAAACTTTACAAAAGCTTTGCGTGTAACTAACTTTTCTATATCACTTATACGTCCAGTTGTTTCATAAGACGAATTTGCTGGGTGCTCAACCTCTTCAAGACCTGGTTCTGTCACCAGCTCATCCTCCACTGGAACCGGTCCCTCCATGAAGGGCTTCACAACATCCTCCATCTGTTCTGTGAATCCCTGGGAACCTTCATTGCTTTCTACGGTTAATGCTATGGGTCTCATCTCTATATCCTCAGGGGGTTGGTCAGGGAGGCTGTCTAGAGCAACTTCCTCCTGCATGAATGCAGCCTTTGATCCCAGCTCCATCCTATCATGCTCGGCCTGGCCTGGTATGCAGCACTGTTCTTCTACCTGAGGCCCAGACTCCCGGCTTAGCTCATCTCTCCTTTGCCTGGCTTCCTCCCCAGGGGTATCCTCCGAATGCTCTGCCTTGAGTGGCCACCTCTCACTGTCAGAAATGCTTTCCTCTGGGCTGTCTGGCAGTCTCCCTGCTCCCTCGGGGTTGTCCGGAGACGCAGTCATGGCCTCTGGCTGGGTCATGACAGCCCCGGTATCAAACAGCCGGTCAGGCATTCCGAGTTCCACCTTTGATTCCATGATTGTGCTCCCAGAGTCTGGCAGCTGTTCCAGGTAGTCAGTGCGCCCAGGCCGTGTAGCAGTAGTCTTTGCCAGCAGATCAAGTTCTACGGCTCCCGAAAAATCATTAAAAGTCTTTGTAGCAATACCAGATGTCTTTGAAATATTTAATTCTGCTACGCCAATGTCACCTACTTTGTGACGTTCGCCTTGGTCTGGCTTAGCTGCGGACGTGCCCATCTTATCATCACAGCTTGGTTCTGTAACTGTCGCTCTCTCTTGGCTTAGATCAGAAGCGGCTACTTTGCCTTTCTTATTTTGACTTAGTTTTGCCACTACTTCTCTGCCTTTCTTTTCTCTGCCAAACTGTTCAACAGCTGGTCGACATTCTTGAGTAGCCTCGGCTACTAAACAGTGCAGCGCATTGCTATACTCAGCTGGGGTGCTTTGCTTCTCTCCATTAAGCTCAGCTCTTTTGTGGTTGTCTTCTCTGACTCCCCAAGTCAGTCTGCTTTTCATACCTTTAACTGGTTCACTTGGGTGTACATCAGGAGCTCTGGCTTCGTTTTCTTTTATATGTGATCCCCCTGGAATTGCATCTATTCCCTTCTCTTCACCAGTCCTTCTGGACGCTTCACTTAGAAAATCTAGAACTCTTGTTTCCACTATAAAATCTGGGTTCCACAATAACTGGTCATCATTTTCATACACTCTTTCAGTTTCCTTGTACTTGCAGATGCCAACTGGAATCTCTGCCTGGAACATGGAACCAACCATTATTTCCTTTTGCCAGTCTTCTGAAGGAACATAATCCTCATCATCCTCTGGTTCTTCTTCTATTTCATTATTTGCATCAAAATACTTGCACCTCCGTGGCCTGATTGCCTCTTGTACATCCCGACATGTAGCAGATGGCACTGTGTCATCGTTACATGATTGAGTCTCATCTTCCGGTCCAGAGGAATCTTTAATGGTCTCATCCTTGTTTTCCACACTGCAGGCACTGTTCCGGTCATTCTCCTCTTCTTCTTTCGTTACCTTGGGAAGATTTATCAGTACCTTTCTGTTTTCAAATGTTTTTCCAGCATTCTCTTGAAACATGCAAGATTCAGTTTCTGAGCGTGAAAATATTTTTGTTTCCAACTCTTTTCCCAGGATCGCTTTATCTGTTGTGATGCCACTTAGAGCAAGTTTGAGGCTTTCACGTGAAGCTGCAACATTTTGGTTCTCAAATAAACACTTGTCAACTTCAGTAATCAGTTTGCCTCGCTCTCCTTTCTGATTCTTCTGCCCTTTCTTACTCTGGCGCATGTCATCAGTGTCACCATCACTGCCTCTTGGCAATTCTGCTTTTTCCTTTAGCTTTGCTGGACTCTTTACTAACTTTTCTTCTTTTTGTTCCTTGGAGGATCCAGCTGGCTTTTCACCCTCTTCCATTTTATCACTACTTTTAGGCTCAATTTCATCCTTCTTGCCTTCTAATTCCTGTTCTCTTTCTTCTGCATGTTTCTCAATATCATGCTTTGCTGCCTCCATGCTTTTCAGCTTGTTGAAGACTTCTTCTACTGCCACTGTCATCTTATGCAGGATGTCAGTAGCTTGGTTACGGGGTCCCTTGTCCCCACACACCCTGCCGGGGGCAATCTGCAAAACATTAGTAAGGGCAGCTCTATACTCCTGCTGAGCGTCCCTCAGGTTCTTAATCTGTGCAGCCAGGAAATGGTTGGTGTTTTGTTGTATAGCAGTTGCCTCTTGTTGTACAGTGGTTGCCTGTACCAGAGCCTTCAGCAGGTCCTCCATTATAGCACCAAGCAGGTAACAGTCTTAAAGGTGCAGTGCTACTTATTTGATTAGCAGGTCTGCTAAATAAAAGTCCTCAAGCAGACTACAGAATGACTGGCAAACCCACAGACCCTCAATGTGCTACTGCGCCCGCATTCTCCACCATATTGTGATCCTTGTCAGCAGGTAGCACGGTCCTCTAGGGCAAAAACATGCACAGTCCTTGTAATTGCATATACTCCAGGCACTTTATTTGAAAATCCACACAGGATACAGCAGTAAATGAAAAACATAACTGTAACAGAAAACCCTATAAACAAAAAACCTAGCTCGTCTGAGCACTAACTCACTTTGTATATCCCTCTCTATCAGGGTTAAACTAACAAAACATATGGCACCAACCTTATTAGTTAGCAACACTCTGCTGGCTAGCCTGTTGCTTTCCTTTCCGCACTCCTAGTGCTCCAAGCCAGCCTTGCCCTGACTGCTTTCCTTTCTGCACTCCCAGTGCTCCAAGCCAGCATTGACTGCTTCCTTTCTGCACTCCAAGTGCCTAGTCTCCTTGACTCTATCTGGAGAGAACTGATCTCTCCTACCTGCTTCCTGGGAGGAAGCCAGCAATCCCTCTCTATTACCTGTCTAGCAGGGAGGAGTTTATTCCCACTGCAACAGCTCATTAACTGCAGCTGAGCAGTGGGTTGGAGACGATCCAAAAAACCCTGGCCTGGATTCATGTCTCCCCAGAAAACCACTAAACTGTGGAGTGGAGCATTGGCCCACCCTTCTCTCCAAATGCTCCACCCCAGGGGCCCATAACTAAACAGTGTTTTGTGTTGTGCAACACACAAACTACACGTACTTCCCCTGGGGTTAAAAGGCCTATCTGCCTTCACTTTATCACAGTATCCTTGACTAAAGAGAAAAACTCAAATTACAGAAGAAGTAACCTGTTAGGGAAATTAATATAGTATAATGCTATTATGGACTGGCAATATGTGTCCTAAATAGAAGGACTCAAGAAAAAACAAACGAACCAATAAAGGTAAAAAAATGAAGAAGGCTTATCTCTTAATGGATGTAGTGAGAAATTAGTCAGGGAAATACTATCCATAGAGACTATGATGCTTAGAATGCTCAATAGTCTATGGTTAAATAGATTGGAGTATAAGTCTGTCAGAATGTAAAAGGAAATAGAAGATGTAAACGTAAAGATAAACTACTTGAAAATCTTGCAGTAGAGGTAATTTACAAAACCTCGTTTTCTATAATTCTAACTAGACAGCTGATGGAGCAAAAAAGAATAAAATATTAAATAAAAAAAAACACACACCCCCCCATGTGCGGCATACTAGACGCCATGACAAGTGTTAAATGCCCATAGAAAGTAAAAAAGAAGAATAGAACGCCTGACGCACGTTTCGGTGCTTTTAGAGAAGCACCTTCGTCAGAGGCAAACAAACTATTAATAAGAATATACTTATATACCTTAGTAACCTTGTAGCAGCATAATTGTCCCTCCAATCATGTCTGTGCTCTCACAGAAAGGGGTGTATCCAAAGGGAAATTGCTTTACCAGACATTCACTCTGAGTATTCGCGCCAAAATAAAGTGGGCGAGATTTAGATCCTCATGTGGTACGCACTGATCGGCTTCAGTGCAAGTGTCAATCAAACCATGTTAGTCTACCCCACGTGGTGTACTAAACACTTTATGACGTAAGGGCTTGGTCCGAAAGTAACAGGAAAAAATAACAATGTTTTGACAGATTGATACTGTCATGTTTCTAATGGCATAAATATATTGCCACCAACAGGATATTTTTTTCAACATGATATTTAATTTGTTCATCTTATAAAGCAATATATAGTGAAGGTATCTGTTAGAGAAATAGAAAGATACAAAACCCTGAATGTATAGTATCTAAGCTACATATTACGATCAAACATATGCTAATACTCTTTATGAAGTAGGGAGAAATTCAAAGATTAGAGTAATCTACTTTATTGAATTAGAACTACCAATATAAAGTTTGTAAATATATATAGTTGGTAAATTTAAAAATAAATATTATTATTGGAAGAATAAGATCAAGAGCATACTGAGGGAGATTTACAATGATATTAAACAGGGAATATATATATAAGGTACAGTTGCAAGAAAAAGTATGTGAACCCTTTGGAATGATATGCATTTCTGCACAAATTGGTCATACAATGTGATCTGATCATCATCTAAGTCACAACAATAGACAATCACAGTCTGCTTAAACTAATAACACACAAAGAATGAAATGTTGCCATATTTTTATTGAACACACCATGTAAACATTCACAGTGCAGGTGGAAAAAGTATGTGAACCCTTGGATTTAATAACTGGTTGAACCTCCTTTGGAAGCAATAACTTCAACCAAACGTTTCCTGTAGTTGCAGATCAGACGTGCACAATGGTCAGGAGTAATTCTTGACCATTCCTCTTTACAGAACTGTTTCAGTTCAGCAATATTCTTGGGATGTCTAGTGTTAATCGCTTTCTTGAGGTCATGCCACAGAATCCCAATCGGGTTGAGGTCAGGACTCTGACTGGGCCACTTCAGAAGGCATATTTTCTTCTGTTTAAGCCATTCTGTTGTTGATTTACTTCTATGCTTTGGGTCATTGTCCTATTGCAACACTCATCTTCTGTTGAGCTTCAGCTGGTAGACAGATGGCCTTAAGTTCTCCTGCAAAATGTCTTGATAAACTTGGGAATTAATTTTTCCTTCGATGATAGCAATCCGTCCAGGCCCTGACACAGCAAAGCAGCCCCAAAGCATTATGCCCCCACCACCATATTTCACAGTTGGGATGAGATTTTGATGTTGGTGTGCTGTGCCTTTTTTTCGCCACACATAGTGTTGTGTGTTTCTTCCAAACAACTCAACTTTGGTTTCATCTGTCCACAGAATATTTTGACAGTACTGCTGTGGAACATCCAGGTGCTCTTGTGCAAACTGTAAACGTGCAGCAATGTTTTGTTTGGACAGCAGTGGCTTCCTCTGTGGTATCCTCCCATGAAATCCATTCTTGTTTAGTGTTTTACATATTGTAGATTCGCTAACAGGGATGTTAGCATTTGCCAGTGACTTTTGTAAGTCTTTAGCTGACACTCTAGGATTCTTCTTCACCTCATTGAGCAGTCTGCGCTGTGCTCTTGCAGTCATCTTTACAGGACGCCCACTCCTAGGGAGAGTAGCAGCAGTGCTGAACTTTCTCCATTTATAGAAAATTTGTCTTACCATTGACTGAGGAACAGCAAGGCTTTTGGAGATACTTTTATAATCCTTTCCAGCTTTATGCAAGTCAACAATTCTTAATCGTAGGTCTTCTGAGAGCTCTTTTGTGCGAGGCATCATTCACATCAGGCAATGCTTCTTGTGAAAAGCAAACCCAGAACTGGTGTGTGTTTTTTATAGGGCAGGGCAGCTGTAACCAACACCTCCAATCTCATCTCATTGATTGGACTCCAGTTGGCTGACATCTCACTCCAATTAGCTCTTGGAGATGTCATTAGTCTAGGGGTTCACATACATTTTCCACCTGCACTGTGAATGTTTACATGGTGTGTTCAATAAAAACATGGCAACATTTCATTCTTTGTGTGTTATTAGTTTAAGCAGACTGTGATTGTCTATTGTTGTGACTTAGATGATGATCAGATCACATTTTATGACCAATTTGTGCAGAAATCCATATCATTCCAAAGGGTTCACATACTTTTTCTTGCAACTGTATATAACCAATCCTTAGAATACAAAGATAACTTTCAAATAACTAAAAGAAAAACTGTGTAAAGAAAATAGCAAAATATCATCACAAAGAAACCTACTTATTTACATTATAAACAGGTGTATCAGATCAAGAGAATAATTACAAGATAATAATAAATACGTGAAGATTAATAAAATGAACATTCAAATATAGATAAATAAAAGAAGGACTAATCAGGGATAAATGGTGTATATGAGAAGCCCTCATTGAGCCCTAGCTGTGAGAGAGTCTTTAATTTGTATATCCAAAAACTCTCTCTTTGTAACAGTTTTTTATCCAAATCATCACCTCTGGGTCCAAGTGAGACTCTCTCTATGCTGCAGAATCGTATACCTTCTGCGGAACCACCATGATTCAATTTAAGGTGTTTAGAAATAGGGTTGTCTAATGTCTATTAATCTCCTCGGATTGACTGAGGTTACATGTTCACGAATCCTGCATTTAAATGCATGGATAGTTTTACCAACATATAGTTTTTTGCATGAACATGTTAATAAGTAGACAAGGCCTTTAGACTGACAATTGAAACAAGTTTTGACATTAAAGTCGTATGAATTTATAGAGTCTGAGAGTTTTTTAGAAGGGCGAAGAATGCAGGCTTTACATCTGCCGCATTGGTATGTTCCAGATACTGGGGATTTTAGCCATGTGGATTTCTTTGAAATAAATCAGAAACACAGATACTTAAACGTGGACTGTCCTTCGTTCCGGTCCCTGATTTTGATAAATTTAACTGGACGAAGGACATCCACCTCTTTGCAAGGAAACTGGCATTACATAAATTTCATTGTATAAAAGAGGGAAAAAAGAGCAAAAAATCTGGGCAAAACATTCTGTCAAAACATTGTTATTTTTTCCTGTTACTTTTGGACCAAGCCCTTACGTCATAAAGTGCTTAGTACACCACGTGGGGTAGACTAACATGGTTTGATTGACATTTGCACTGAAGCTGATCAGTGCATACCACATGAGGATCTGAGTCGCGCCCACTTTATTTTGGCGCGAATACTCAGAGTGAATGTCTGGTAAAGCAATTTCCCTTTGGATACACCCCTTTCTGCGAGAGCACGTACATGATTGGAGGGACAATTATGCTGCTACAGGGTTACTAAGGTATATAAGTATATTCTTATTAATGGTTTGTTTTCCTCTGACGAAGGTGCTTCTCTAAAAGCACCGAAACACGCGTCAGGCGTTCTATTCTTCTTTTTTACTTTCTATGGGCATTTAACACTTGTCATGGCATCTAGTATGCCGCACATGGGGGTGTGTGTGTTTTTTTCGATTTAATGTTTCATTCTTTTTTGCTCCATCTGTTGTCTAGTTAGAATTATAGAAAACGAGGTTTTGTAAATTACCTCTACTGCAAGATTTTCAAGCAGTTTATCTTTACGTTTACATCTTCTATTTCCTTTTACATTCTGACAGACTTATACTCCAATCTATTTAACCATAGACTATTGAGCATTCTAAGCATCATAGTCTCTATGGATTGTATTTCCCTGACTAATTTCTCACTACATCCATTAAGCCTTTTTAATTTTTTTACTTTTATTGGTTCGTTTGTTTTTTCTTGAGTCCTTCTATTTAGGACACATATTGCCAGTCCATAATAGCTTTATACTATATTAATTTCCCTAACAGGTTACTTTCTCTGGAATTTCAGTTTTCCTCTTTAGTCAAGGATACTTACAAGGAGCATTATATTAATATAGATATATATATACATATATATATTCTGTTTAGTGTACTGGGTATTATACAGATTTTGCTGTGGATGCATATAGAGCCAGATCTAATAAAGCTCTAGATAGACATCCCACACTGTAAATATTTCCATAATGCCTGTACACTATTTAGTTTTTTTGGAGCAATTCTGAATCTTTTTATTATTTTCATTCTCTAGTCCTTATCGTATGGAGATTAGTTTGATGTTTTCATTATAGGAATTCATGTGTATATAGTTAACATTTAATCACCATTAGACTACTTTATATTTCCAGGTAGCACAGCGAGTCACATGTGCCCTTGTCATTGTGATAAGCATATTGTGCATTTTCCTGTTTTCTATATATCACTATTGGGGTTAGGCCCCTTTTTTGGTACATTGGATAGTGGGTTTTAACTGGACCATAGACACCTGTCATTGGTATCCAGAGATAATCTACTGTCTTTTATTTATACGTTTTTAGGAGAGAATTGATGCCACAAATTATTTATTTATAAAAAATGTTACCAGGAAGGACACATTGAGATTTCTCTCATTTCAAGTATGTCCTGGGTCCACAAAACATTGCATTGATACATTAGGGTACAATAAAATACAAAACCAATATTAATACACAATATATACAAAATCTAACATAGAACAGGTAGGAAATATATAATCACCCATGACATGTGCATTCTGTTTTGAGATATGTAGAGAGGGATCTCTTAAAGGACTTTAGGCTTGGGGAAGATTTTAAAGTGTGCGGGAGGTCGTTCCACAATTGCGGTGTTCTGTAGAAGAAGGAGGATCGGGTTGCTTTCTTTTTGTATTGAGGTATACTAAGTAAAGTGCTGGTACTGGATCGGAGGTTATTGGAGGTGGGAACAGCCGAGGAGAGTATTTTGTTCAGGTAGGGTGGGAGTTTCCCAGAAAAGTTCTTAAACACAAGGTTGGAAAGATGAAGGGTACGTCTGGATTCCAGCGACAGCCAGTTTAGTTCTTTTAGCATGTCACAATGGTGGGTCCTGTAATTACATTGTAGCACAAAGCAGCAGAATGAGTTATACAATGT